AAGTTGCCAGAATTAACGTGCCATTGCTTCCATCAATACACCTCCACAACCCTAACAGAGTCAAGGGCTATGTTGTCTTTAAAATTGCACATTTTGATTAAGAGTGTTTGATTTCTTTTTCTTTTGGTTCATTGCTGCAGATATCACCCGCCTACATTCATCTCTCTGGTTGGCCTTCTCTTTACAGTTGGTAACCCCAAGTGTTTGCAGGTCTGTCTGGATATTATCTCTCCGTCTTCTTCTTGGTCTGCCTGGTGGTCCACGACCATTCATCTCCCTCAGTTCCCATTTCTTCTAGTGCAGTAATTCTGGATTCATTCATGCGTTACTTCTTCTTCTCCCAAAGCCCTCCTCCTTCTTCTTCTTCTTCTTCTTCTTAATCAGCGTTTTGAGCCATTGCGATTCACAGATGCAGATATCACCTGCCTCTTTCCTTTTCTGTGATTGGACTTCTCTTTTGGGTTGCTGACTCCAGATGTTTTGTAGGTCTGCCTATATATTATCTCTTCACGATCTTCTTGGTCTGCCTCATTGTATAGTCCCATTCACTTTTTTTGGTTCACAATTTTGGTCTCTCTGTTATTTGTCATTCTCTATATATATAGCCCAACCATTGCTGTCTGTTAGCCCTCATGACGACAGTAATTAGTGGTGATGTAAATAAATAATTAATTTTACTGTTGCTGCTCACAAAAATTACTTTTATTTTCTTGCAAGCTTTAATTCATGTTGCTACTTGAACCAATGCATCATCACTGATCTATATATCTTTATTAATATTTGAATTGTTTAGTATATCTTTCTTTTCTCTGAAGCTGAAATATTTTGGTCATATCAAGTGTTATGGCGGATTGAAAAAAGATTAGCAGAAGGCATGGTACCAGGAAGGAGAGCAGGGGCCAACCAACACGAAGATGGGCACTGGATATAAGTGACTCCTTGAATATGAAAGTACACGAGGCGGGAGAGCTGGTGAGAGAACTAGTTTCTTTCAGGCAGATTGTGATGAGAGCGACGTTCTGCAAAGGACCTGCTACATGATGATGATGATGAGTATATCTCATTGCAACATTTGTTTAACTTTTTTTATCTTTTGCTATGTCATGTTTCTTTATCTGATTTCTAATATAGGAGAGCTGTTATAAACAGCGCTGAATCTGATGATAGTTTGGATGGCCATAATTCACCAACATTTTCCTGGCAAGCCAGAACAGATACTGAGGGAGATGACCTTTGTCTCTCTGTTCATCAAGAAGAATGGGATACGTCAGATCACTTTTGTGGCCTTGGTAAGTTGATCTTGTTACTTGTTGTCCATACTGACATCCTAGCACATCGGACCGACCCATTGGTGCTCCGTCTTCCGATGCAGCAACCATCTTAGTTGTCTCCATGTTAAACATACCCAGTAGGAGCTGACTGGTCTCTCTTCTTCCTTTACCCTGTAGCCGGTTTCTGACGGGTAATCACATCACCTCAGTTAAGTTGACCTCAGAACTATGAACTCTCTAAGGTCATGAAACAAGTATTTCTTACTCTTCTTCTTCTTTGTTCCCACTTAAAAGACCTGTTGACAAGTTGTCTTGTGGTTTAAAGCTAGGCTGCGATATCTGCATCTTTATGCCAAACACATCTAATTTCAGCCAGTCCTCAATTAGTCGCCTTTCATTGCATGCTTGTTAAAGGACAGTGGGTCTGTTCTGTTTATTTTTGGGGCAAGAAAATGGGGTCTTAGAACCCACACAGTATTTGGGACAGAATTTTCCAAGTGTATATTCTTGAGGCACTGTGGTGCCTTGAGACAAGCATGCTCATCTGCCATCCTGATTATCTTGTGTTCAGATCTCCATTACAGCAGATATTGTAGTTTTTATTGAACTGAACTCAAAGTGATCCAGCCTAAAATGGGAACCAGGAAATGTTCATGGAAGTCATTGGCCATCATAAATTTGGCTACTTCACCCAGCAGGTGTCAGCACCGTATACACAGATATGCCTGAAGGCATGGAAAAGTTTCTTCTACTTGACTTAAAAAGATACCATGACTGAGAAAGATACAAAGACTGAAAAAGATACCATGACTGAGAAAGATACAAAGACTGAAAAAGATACCATGACTGAGAAAGATACAAAGACTGAAAAAGATACCATGACTAACGAAGATACCGTGACTGAGGAAGATAAATTGACTAAAGAAGATACCTTGACTGAAAAAGATACAAAGACTGAGAAAGATACAAAGACTGAGAAAGATACCATGACTAACGAAGATACCGTGACTGAGGAAGATACATTGACTAAAGAAGATACCTTGACTGAAGAAGATACCTTGACTGATGAAGATGCAGTAACTGATGAAGATACCTTGACTGAGGAAGATACCTTGACTGATGAAGATACCTTGACTGATGAAGATACCTTGACTGATGAAGATACCTTGACTGAGGAAGATACCTTGACTGATGAAGATACCTTGACTGAGGAAGATACCTTGACTGATGAAAATACCTTGACTGAAGAAGATACCTTGACTGATGAAGATGCAGTGACTGATGAAGATACCTTGACTGAGGAAGATACCTTGACTGATGAAGATACCTTGACTGATGAAGATACCTTGACTGATGAAGATACCTTGACTGAGGAAGATACCTTGACTGATGAAGATACCTTGACTGAGGAAGATACCTTGACTGATAAAAATACCTTGACTGAAGAAGATACCTTGACTGATGAAGATACCTTGACTGAGGAAGATACCTTGACTGATGAAGATACCTTGACTGATGAAGATACCTTGACTGATGAAGATACCTTGACTGAGGAAGATACCTTGACTGATGAAGATACCTTGACTGAGGAAGATACCTTGACTGATGAAAATACCTTGACTGAAGAAGATACCTTGACTGATGAAGATGCAGTGACTGATGAAGATACCTTGACTGAAGAAGATACCTTGACTGATGAAGATACCTTGACTGATGAAGATACCTTGACTGATGAAGATACCTTGACTGAGGAAGATTCCTTGACTGATGAAGATACCTTGACTGAGGAAGATACCTTGACTGATAAAAATACCTTGACTGAAGAAGATACCTTGACTGATGAAGATACCTTGACTGAGGAAGATACCTTGACTGAGGAAGATACCTTGACTGAAGAAGATACCTTGACTGAGGAAGATACCTTGACTGAGGAAGATACCTTGACTGATGAAGATACCCTGACTGAAGAAGATACCTTGACTGATGAAGATACCTTGACTGAAGAAGATACCTTGACTAAAGAAGATACCTTGACTAAAGAAGATACCTTGATTGAAAAAGATACCTTGACTGATGAAAATACCTTGACTGATGAAGATACCTTGACTGATGAAGATACCTTGACTGATGAAGATACCTTGACTGAGGAAGATACCTTGACTGAGGAAGATACCTTGACTGATGAAGATACCTTGACTGAGGAAGATACCTTGACTGAGGAAGATACCTTGACTGAGGAAGATACCCTGACTGAAGAAGATACCCTGACTGAAGAAGATACCTTGACTGATGAAGATACATGTACTGAAGAAAGTACCTTGACTAAAGATGATACTTTGACTGAAGAAGATACCTTGACTGAGGAAGATACATTGACTGAAGAAGATACATGTACTGAAGATGTAACTTGACTGAAGAAGATACCTTGACTGAAGAAGATACCTTGACTGAAGAAGATACCTTGACTGACTCTCCATAATCTGTGTACTGCAACTGTTGACACCCCTCCATGCCATGACAAAAGACTGTCAAGAATCTTTTCACACTGTCTTCCTCTCTCTCTCTCTCTCTCTTTCCACAGATCTCTCTGGTGGTTACAGCATGTTCTATTTTCCCTCTTCTCATAACATGACCCAAAAAAATGATGACTGTCTCTTTCTGTTTGTGATAAGTTGTCTTTGAGCATTCACCTCTTTTAAAACATCTGGGTTGCTCTTCCTAGATGTCCAAGGAATCCTAAGGATTCTTTTGTAAAAACCATATACCCACTGTATAAGTCGACCATTATTTTGGATAAGATTTTAGGCTTGGAAACTGGACTTATGCGATGTATAGTATTTTAAATTTGTATATGTACTGATATGTCACAAACTTTGATTATCTAGGCTCTATAATAAACAACAATGGAGACTGTTTGACAGAAATTAAAAGGAGGATGGCCATAGCAATGCAAAGATTGAACAGCCTTATTAAAAGTCTATGGTTAAGCACCAGCAAAGAGATAAAAATTATAATTTTGAGAGCATGCATCTTCCCTGTGGCTACACACGGATGTGAGTCGTGGACTATCTCTCAGTCCTTAAGAAAGAGAATAGGGGCTTTTGAGCTAAAATGCTATAGAAAGATTCTCAGAATATCTTGGACAAAGAAGATGATAAATATTGACATCTTAAAAGATCTGAACATCAAGGAAGATTGGCTAATAAACAGCATCTTTTCTCGAAAGCTGAAATATTTTGGTCATATTAGTGTCACGACGGATTGGAAAAATTATAGCAGAAGGCATGGTACCAGGAAGGAGGGGCAGGGGCCAACCAACATGAAGATGAGCACAGGATATAAGTGACTCCTTGAGTGTGAAAGTGCATGAGGTGGGAGAACTGGCGAGAGACCAAGTTTCTTTCAGGCAGACTGATGAGAGCGACGTTCTGCAAAGGGCCTGCTACATGATGATGATGATGATGATGATATGTATGGATGACATATGTGTATGTATGAACATTGATGAGAGAGGTCAAGTGTTGTCAGAATAGAATCTTTATATAATTTCAAAAAATGCACAGGACAAAACCTGTACTTCCGGGCAAGAAGAAAAAGAGCAAAGTGATGTCATTATAAATGAGCTCAAAGATGCGCCATGAAAGATTAGCCAGATAACCATTGCCGTGTAAGAGAATAGAACCTCTCATATGTATATATCAAACATCCATATTGATTTGATTTCTGCAGATTCTGAAACATTCCTGCAAGCTGTGGTGTTTGTTGAAGATGCATATTACGTAAGTACTGCAGTCGGTGTGCATGCGACAGAGCTTGTGTTCTGTCTTCTTCACCACATCCATTCACACGCTCTTTCAACACCTCATTAACAAGCATGTTAGTTTCCACATTGTCTTTATTCTCTTGTAGTCCTTTAGTTTTTGTTTAAAATAAAGATACTAGTATGGAGTCACAAGTGGTAAGTATTCAGTCTTCATACGTACTAGGTTTGCCTTCGTAGCAAGTCACCAGTCATAATCAATACTGAAGAAGAAAAACGCTTCCTTTACTAAATACAGATTGACCCTAAACAGTCCAGTCATCGATAATCCAGTTTTTTTAGATTTCCAGCAGGGAACAAGTTGCTGTTCTATGTCTCTATTGTCAAAATTGCCGTTTAGCTCCGGGTTTTTCTCCTTTTCATGATCTCATCGTGCAGTGATGCTGGTTTCTATATCCGTCTCCTATCTGTCCCGATCAAAAGTTAGTATGAAAAGATGGGCAGATAAATTGATAATACCCCAGTGTTCTGTAATTACAGTTTATTTTATTGTTGTACAACCAAGGTGTCGTCCAGTCATTGTCTGATGTTCTCACTCGTCGTGTTCAGACTCCCACACGAACACTGTCACAGCTGGCGCACAGTTGAATAATAACATTTAGTTACCTTTCAGTCCATACGTTTCACATACGCTGAGATAGTGCACCTGAAACAAGGTGCCATGAATCGCTCGACAATACAAATCAGAATCATGTCTCTCCTGCCATTGCCATGCATTCTCTGTTCTCGTTCTGTTCTTCAACACTCACTGGTTCGTCAGTCACTTGACACAGGCAACTTTCCTCTCATACGGTCAAACACAAACTAAACTCTACTTTCATTCTCACCTTCAAACCTTTGTCCCTGTGGCACGAGTTGTATCAGTTCAACAGTTCCATTAAACACAGAATTTGCGAGTATTTCCTGCTTGGATTCTATTCCCTTGACTTCCCCATGACCCTTGACGTCATATTGGGAACCCTTTGGGAAATTCCATCATTATAGCCTTTAACCGTTGCAGATCAAGTTGTCCTATCCTTCACTAACATTTTTGTAGTTCTCTCTCAGAGCTCAACATTAATGATTCTGCCATAACGTTTAATTCTCTCTGTTCTGTGCAGGCACCAGTTACTGATGGTTTGTAGCTGATCAGTAGTCGTTGTCCATGTTTCCGCTCCAAACGGCAGTACTGATTTGACATTAGAGTTAAAAAGTTTAAGTTTAGTGTTTGTTTTGACTTCCTTTCATTCCTCAAATTTCTTACTGCTGATTTGATTATATGGAGACTTCAGTCTCCTGTTTGACCATGTTCACTTTACACTGGGGTGCTATCATCCCCACTTTACAATGGGGTGCTATCATCCACACTTTACACTGGGGTGCTATCATCAACACTTTACACTGGGGTACTATCATCCACACTTTACACAGGGGTGCTATCATCCACACTTTACACAGGGGTGCTATCATCCACACTTTACACTGGGGTGCTATCATCCACAAATTTTAATATTAGTCTAAACATTCTGTTCTTAGTGTCACGTAGCTAGTTAAGACTGTGATTATTGTCTTCAATATGTGTTATAATATTTTAAAACTATTTACTATGTTTGAAAACAGTACCGCAGTATTCAACACAACATTGAAGCCAGACATCTTTGGCTTTACCGCAAGTACCACTCCACTGTGGTCATCATGTGAGTCCATTGTTTGTGATGTTTTTTCCTTTTATTTTTGTAAGTCAAACACCTTGGGTCATCGATCATGTTTTTGCGCAGCCTTCTATCTAATGCACCCCCATAAATATCTGATGCAGACATTCCCCAATGGCATAAAGAAACATTATCATCTTTTTTCCTTGGTAGTCCTCTACCAACGAGGAAGACAACGAGAGAAGATGCTTGACAGTCTTGTTGCATGGCATGGAGGTGTGTCGACACACGAACTGATACATGCTGCAGGAGATTGTGGATTATGGAGAGGCATGATCGCCCACGCCAGTCAGCAAGGCACCTGATGATGATGAGTCCCCTACAACGCTTTCTCTCCAACTCTCCTATCTTCACAACCTACTACATGTTTTACTTCTGATGTGCCGAATGAATGTGAATTGTTCACTTCAAGGCTAGGGTCATGCTGTGTCCATCCATACCTGACACTGGCCCTAACCCTAACACCCCCCCCCCCCTCCTCCCCCTGCCCTACACACACATTGATGTGTTTGTCTGAGGCATGATTAAAGCCAAATTCTGGAACAAGCCATTAGATTTTAAACTGGTGAATATGAAGGGAAAGAAGAAGAAGCAATAGCACATCAGTTAACAAGTGAGATAGACTGAGGAGAACAGACTGAGATATTGCATCACTGTCTCATTTAAACTCAGCTAAAGATTTCACATACAAATAGAGATGCATTCAGATATAATGAGATGTAATGTTCAAATACCTAGGTATCGAGATGAAATTGTAAAAGTGTGTTGTCAAAATATAAAAGTTATGAAGATCAAATATCGTTGTATGGGTTCCGGGACCCTGTTGTGGAGAAAACAAGAATAGACCCACTGCCTTCTCAAAAGCATGTCATGTGAGTCGACTAATTGGGAGCTTTGTTCGAAGTCAGAGTACCTCTGCCTGAGAGGCAAGGAACCGACAGTCTACATACAAATCAGTCATATTTGTAAAATGGATGTGCACACAACACTCAGGTTCTGCAACAGGTCTGGAGTCCAAAAGTGGACGAACAACCAGAATTTTTCTACTAGAGTTTACAGCTAGTGAACACGAAGAAGAAGAATATGAGATGTAAATATGGTTTTTTAAAATATAAATAGGTATGTTATACTTTGACCAAAATTGTGTTTATGTCTACCAAGTGTTCATCTTATGTGAGTTTGTGTTAACTAGTTTTTACTGTATAATATTTACTCTCTGTATCTCAATTATTAGTTCAGCCATTTCTGTTCTATAGTGTCTCAGTGTAACTCCTTAGGCTGCAATATTTATTGCTTTTAAGCTCAGTTCCTTCAAATAGAAGCTGTTTCAAACTGAAAGAGTTAAAGAGATTTTTTTTCAACAAATGTGTACAAATTTTGTATTTACCAGCTTCCGCCATACTGTGATAACTTTGCTGCACCTGCTTGCGTTTGTTGAGTACCCATCATCCCTCACAATTACATCTGATCCGAGGTTGCAAGCTGAGAGAACTACCTGGCCATGCTGGTTGACCCAGCTGATCGAGTTTGTCTGCCTGGCGCTGCTACTGGCAGATAATTCTGTTAGGGTAATTTCTTTGCTGTGTCCCTCATGTGTGTGTACAAATGTGTGCGATCATAACATCAAAAGGGGTGAAGCTAGACAAGAGCCCTGCACAGGAGAAAGAAGAATAGTAAACCAACACAGAACTGGTGTCAAAAGCCACTACATGCTGAGGTAGATACTGAAGAGGGGATCTGAGCACTTATGGACTGAATGGTTCAGTGTGCAATGATGATAATCTGTCAGCTAACTAACTAAATGTATGTATGCCTGAAAGTATCCAGTTGTGTATGTGTGTCAAAAATGTGTGTGTATGTATGTCTCCAAATGTATATGAGTCCAAATGTGTACATGTCCAAATGTGTGTGACCCCTCATGTGTGTCCAAAAATTGTGTCTTCTTTTTCCTAGCATTCACCGGATGTAAACTCCTGCGGAAAGTTCTGGTTGTTTGTCCACTTCTGGACTTCAGTCTTGTTCCAGAACTTGAATTTTCTGTGCACATCTGTTTTACACATTTGGCTTAATTGTGTGTAGACTGTTGGTTTCTCACCTTTCAGGCAAACTAACTCTGACTTCAAAGGACACACCTAATTAGTCTACTTTTGCAGCAAGCTTCTTAGAAAAGCAGTGGGACTGTTCTTTTGTCCACCACAGTGGAGCCCCAGAACCTAGACAGGAATGTGTCTTAGTGAGAATCAGGGATAGCATAAGGCTTTATGTAGCATACCTTTATTGTAAAGTTGACCAGTGATCTGACTATTACTTCACAGTTTAGAAGACAGGTTGCGATCATCCCATTTCTTTGAAAAGATATAAATGGAAATGAGAATTGGAACTATCCAGCTTCATATTATCGCAGTCAGAGCGGCAAATTAAGATTGCGGCTAAATAGCCTTCATGAGCAGAAGGTGCAAATATGCAAACAAGAATAGACATTCAGTTATCTGTATTTAAGTTAAGGTCTCTCACAGGAGAGATGAGGAACCAAGTCTGCTTATAAATAAAACAGATCTGTAAAATGGTTGTGAACCCAAAAGTCAAGTTCTGGGACAAGACTAAAGTCCAGAAGTGGATGAACAACCTGAACTTTCCACTGGAATTTATAGCCGGTGATCGCAAAGAAAAAGTTAAAATTCTTAGTCACGTGTCATGCATTAAGAGGAAGAGAGGGATTATAGGCAAGGCTTGTAACTCAAATGTTTAGATAAGTTGTATTTAACATTAAGACCCTTAAGTGAGAGAGAGCCCATAAGACAGATAAGATGGTTGGTTCTCAAGTGACTAGCGGAGCTATTTCTTTGAAGTGCTAGACTTGATAGCCTTAACCAATTTCTTTGAAAAAATGTCTGCTATTCATCTTAAATTTTAATTTGTGAAATATTTCTTTACAGGCATATCTGGTTGGGCGATATTATTTTGTTCGACAGATTTGGGACATGGGAGCCATTCTCATCATTTCGATCTCCTTCATTGATTGGACAGTTTCTTCTGCCTTGAGTTGCCAGGAGGTCTGTTTTTGTTGTTGATGTTTTTATTTCTTGTTACTAGTTAAAGTCAAAGACCATTTTTTTACACCAGAGGTACAACTGGGTATGTCAGCGTCTTTGGCATAGTTGTTGAGAACGCGCTTCGTAATGCCGGGTTATGGGTTCGATCCCAGGTGCAGACGTTTTGGCAGTAGAGGGCCTTAAGTTAGTTGCAGTAGTGTATCAAGAGCCAGCCATCAATAAGCAGTGGCAGACAACTGAACGTAAATTTGTGTAGAAAAACCACAACAGCCAAAAAATGCTGGGGTTGGTTCTGCAATGTCCCAGTACGGACATACAACTATTTTTTTTTTTTTAATTTAATGTTTTTTTTTTTTTTTTTTTTTTTTGTAAATAGGTATGTGATACTTAAACTCATATTTCTATAGACAAATCGGCACACAATGTGACAGCGAGGGACATTTCCTATGATTTTCACTTGCACAGAAAGTGAGCCATTTTGGCATTGTGACTATCAACTAGTGTCAAAAGACCAGCTAAATTCTTATTCTCTGCAATGGTTATTTTAAGACCATTTAACTTTTGAAATACTTTCTTTATGTTCTGTTTTCCTGTTGCAGCTGATACGATTCCGCCGTATCCTGAGACCATACTTCATTCTACAAAATTCGTCTTTGATGAAAAAAATTGTTAACTGCTTAAGGAGAACTCTTCCAGAAGTGATGAGGTGAGTTTACGTTTGTTGTGGTATCCATGGTGACTGACATATTGTAGCAAAATATAGATCTATATCTGTCATTTTATCATCTATAACAATACAGATATCTGTATGTTTTCAAAACTTGAATGAATTAATCAAGAATTTACATGACTGCACTTGGAACATTCCCACACATGCTCCGTCCCTTTCTTCAGTAGCCAATGAAGAGTCAACATGCTAATAGTACCAGCTGCAACCTGATTAAAAGTCCGCCTGTGTTTCCCCTTCAGTGTTGAATATCTTCTAGAACCTCTACTCACCCTCTGCTGAATTTGTCTTTCTGTGTATGGATTACAAACTTTGATGCGAGAATCGTGCCTATGATGCCAAAGTCCTATTTACAGGCACACATACATGTCTGGGTGGACAGTTTGGTCCTATATGCCAGTACGTCCATCTAGCATACCAGAATAAATTTAAATTAGGCACTGAAGTCGGAGGCAACCTGCCAGGAGGTGCACTGTAAAAATCACGATGCCACGCACAAACACTAAAGGAATGAAGTTGATACTAGAGACAACATTGCAGAAATAGATAATCTATTTCAACCTAACGAAAGAAGAAGAAGAAGTGTATGGATTCCTTAACTGTACTTAAAAACATCACAACTTGAAAAGTATGTACATAGCTTTGCATAACTTGAAGTTAGATGCATCCTGTGATTCATCATCATGTCGCAGGTCATTTAAGAACAACTTTCTCATCGCAGTCTCCCTGAAAAAAAAAAACGGTCTTCTCTGAGTTATTATTTGTGTGTGTGAATTTCATGAAAAGATTCATGTGATAATGATGGGGGTAGTTTCTTCTTGCTTTCCACAGCCACCTGGATTTATACTATGTCCATTTTATGATTATCCACTGATTTATTGTATCATTAGCTAATGCATTAATATTTATGTTGTTTGGTAACTTATTTGACATTATTTGGCAGTAAACTGTCTGATGTAATCTTGGTTGTACCCATATGTTGTATGTTACTGCTGTAGTATGTGATTGTTTCTTTATCATATGTTGGTGCCTCATATTTAATGTTGTATCCACAGCATCCTACTGCTCCTGGCTCTGCACCTGTATGTGTTCACTCTCTTTGGGATGTTGTTATTCCCAGTCTATGAGGTAATGTTCATTACCGCTATAATCTATAATAGGGCTATTCAACTGGCAGCCCACAGGCCAAATCTAGCCCGTAAAGGCCTAACAAGTGGCTCGTAAATCACCTGCCAGTTGTATTTTATTAATGCTCTTTCTATGTTGGGACGGAGCCTCTGGCCTGTGACAATCCCCATATTCCAAATATTGGCCTTTGAGTAAACTTAGTTGAATAGCCCTTACCTGTAATATACATCATCACAGCTGCTATCTTTCTCATCATTGTTCTCTTTGTGAATTGTCTCAGCTTATGAAGGAAGATTCATTATCATTTGGGTAAGTCAAAAAAAAAAAAGTTAAGGACCTTTTTCCACACCTTCAGGCATATTGGAAATATAGGGCTGGATCTATGTTTGTTTGGACCAATCGGCACTTGCTGGGTGATGCGGTCAGTATGACGCCGGCCGACTTTACTAGTCTGCCTAGTACTGCACCTGGTACCCACTCAAGGCTGGGTCGACCTGGGAGTCGAGGTCATTTTGTTTTAAAAGTCCGGCTCTGTCAGGGCATGAACTCACGACCTTCCGATCCGCAGGCGGGCGTCTAGCTGCCAACGCCAGGGCAACTCCCTATCATTTGGGTAGACTAGTTATAAATCTATGATCAATTCATAGAATATCTTTTTTTTTTATTCTGTTGTCTAATCAGCATTCAGATTTCTGTGTCTTCCCCATGTGTGACTGTCATATGGTTTATGCTACATACTAATGCAGTAGCCATGTGCATCACAGGATCATTTAAACTCAGCTAAAAGATTTCACATATAAATTGATATGCATTCAGATATGAATAGATATAATGTTCAGATATAACTAGGTATTGAGATCGGATTTAAATAGGTATGTTGTTGACTGACTGTCTGAATGTTGAAATAAGAATCAACATCACAGTACTTGGGACATTCATTTAAGTGCTCCGTCCCCATCAGCAAGCACAGATTTCCAGTTCCGATGGCACCAGTAACAGTCTGAATGTATATCTGTCTAACCTTTTCCCTTGAGGGCTGAGTGTCGGCCAGATCCCCTGATCACTGCTTGCAGCTTTGTCTTTGTGAGGCCATAGTGATCTGTTTGTGCTTCCTCACTCTTCACTTGCTGTCAGTGGACACTTAAAACATCTAGCTTGTTGTACATTAATTCACCACCAAGTGGTGCAGAACCAGCCATTCTATCCACCTGTTTGTTTCCAAGCACACCCGTATGTCTGTGCATCAGAGTCATCTTCAACTTTTTTCCTGTGGAATATCGTAACCAGTAAACAAAAGATTCGCTCAGTCACCACCATAATTTTCTCATTATCATCATGATCATTATGTAGCAACTTCTTTGCAGAACGTCGCTGTCATCATGGTTTGCCTGAAATAAACTGGGTCTCACACCAGCTCTCCTACTATGTGTACTTCCTGTCCAAAGCGTCACTTATATCTTGTGCCTGTCTTCATACCTGCCTCTTTCTTCTTCTTGTGTATAGTTTACTAATTTCATTAGCCCTTTCCAGGCAGTTGTTGTTAGTCACTTTGTCAGTCCACAGGATCAGCAGCATGCATCTCGGAACCTACATCTTCCCGGCTCCCAAATTTTTCTTATAAATTGATATAACTGATGAATCTATTGTGACTATATATGAGTGCTTGTCAGCGTAATGTTAAACGTATCTTATTATGGAACCCCTGTTTTTTGTCTTGTCCAGACTTTTGAAATTTAGACAAGCGAATTATGAACTTTATTCAAAAGGCTTACAAATTGGCATGCGGGCCGTCTTACACGACCATAGCCAATGTCACACTAGAGAACAGTTTGATGGATTCATCCAACACATCCAGACCTACGTATGCTGAGGTAAGTGGTTTAGCTCACTGGGAATTTTGCCCAGCAGTCCTTTGCTGGGTACAGACCCTTTAACCCTGAAAATATGTTTAAAAAATTAATTTTGTCTTCTAATTTTGTTAACAAGAAATTATGCGTTTCTCTACGCTAAGAAATTAGAGAGCGAATGAATGAACTTTATTTTCAAAGGCTTACAAATTGGGCATGCGGGCCCGTCTTACATCGACCCCATCTTACATTTGGCCCATGCTTACATTCGACCCCATCTTAAATTCGACACCATCTTACATTCAGCCCCATCTTACATTCAGCCCCATGTTACATTCTACCCCATGTTACATTTTGGAAAGTTAAGTTCAATGGGATGTGTATAAGGAGATACTCCGTACCACCTAGGGTGCCAGCCTTCTGTGTTCTGGTTTTACGGAACCACATGCAAGACCCTGCTTCACGTCCCCGTCGTGCGCCACAGATAATCTCTCAAAGGAGCATTATTAGAGCTGGCAGGGGATCTCGGTGCTGGTGGGCCCCGGAGCTGGTGGCCCCCAGAGATGTAGGTCCAGTCAGACTCTCATCAGCCCACTCCCAATGCATGGATGAAATGTGGAAACGTCTGTCAAAACTCATTTGGAACATAAGGAATGTCCGCTTGTCAAATGTACCACTAAATTGAAACTCTTCCTTTAAAAGTCTGTCAAGTGAAAGAAAACGGAACTGCTGAGACTTGGCCCCAGACCAAGAGATTTGCCTACAGCTTAGATGAGCAACATCTCCTGTGGGCTTTTCTCACAACAAAATCATGTCTTCATACATCCTCTGTCATCCCTCAACCTTATCATCACCATGTTGAGGTACACCATGACAGCCACTGTCAGTCTGCTGGTCAGGCTTAAACAGCTAACAAGCAAAGTCTCAATGCATGACCATCACATATCCTACTAATTGGCAATAAGATGTCCGTATCTACTGGCCCTACTTGCCCGAGTGTTGGGACCAAACAAGTGGACCCATGCCTGGTGCATGCCTCGCTATACTATTGTGCTAAGGCACAGTTGAAACAATGTTAAAAGTGTCTTACATGATGAAGAAGAATGTACCTATTTGTGTGGTCATCGAAGTCCTGGACCTGCAGGCTACTCCCTGCTATTCTCCGGAGGGTGCAGCCCGTGACGAGTGGAAAGCTCAACATACAGTTGTGAGGTTAAGCAGTCAAGTGCAGGATGGGACGATTCCTTGGGTGAGCCCAGGACTAGAGCATCATATGTTGGCTCTGAATTTATGGAAGCCTCCTTGGATGGTGGGTAATGCCGTTTATCTGCCCCTGCCTTCCCTTACGGGCTGACCAGTCTACGTGAGGTTGCCCTAAAGGGCTTCTCCAGGGGCAACATCTATAGACAAAGGGACAAAGAGGATACCATACAAATGAGGCAACATCGGGTCCCACGAAAACAAATGACAACAGTAATCCTAGAGGTGGGAATGACATCATCCTTCAAAGTCGGAGTACATCTGCCAGAGAGGCAGGGAACAAGAACTGCACACAAATAAGCCAGTAAAACGGATGTACACGCAAAACTCAAGTCCCTGTTCAAAGACAAAGTCTGAATACGCCGGTGAAAAACAAAATAAATATGACCATTGTATCTTATGTTAGTAGTAGTAGTAGTAGATTTACACTCCACTAGGACATCACACAAGCGATAAACTCCCAATGACACTAAGTGCCACCATGTGGATGAGGATCACCCAAGGAGAGGTCCCAGAAACCGCGTTCAGCCATTAGACCATATTTATGGTCGGGCTATATTGCGGCCCCTGGCAAGAGCCAGGGTGGGGCTTCAAAATAATGAAAAATTGCATCTCACAAGGAAATGGCTAGGATAAGGTGCACAACATTATATCTTATATGTGACTGACTGACTTTCTACCCCACCAGGACATCACACAAACGACAAACACCTGATGACACAAAGTGCCACCATGTGGATCACCGTGGAGAGGTCCTAGAAACCACGTTCAGCCTTTAGGCCATATTTATGACCAGGTTATATTGCGGCCCCTGGCAAGAGCCAGGGTGAGGCTTCAAATAACGAAAAATTTCATCTTAAAAAGGGTGTAAAGTTAATGTATCCTATATATATGACTGATTGACTTTCTACCCCACTAGGACATCACACAAGCGATAAACACCCGATGACACAAAGTGCCACCATGCGGATGAGGATCACCGTGGAGAGGTCCCAGAAACCGCGTTCAGACAATTGGCCATATTGATGGCCTGCCTATATTGCGGCCCCTGGCAAAAGCCAGAGTGGGGCTTCAAAAAAGAAAAAATTACGTCCTGAAAAGGACTTAAGTAAGGAATAATAGTCCTATATATATTCAAATTCAAATTCTCTTTCGTTGACCACTTTCAGCTAGGTCCTATATATATATATATATATATATATGACTGACTGACTTTCTACCCCACCAGGACATCACACAAGCGATAAACACCCGATGACACAAAGTGCCACCATATGGATGAGGATCGCCGTGGAGAGGTCCCAGAAACCGCGTTCAGACATTTGGCCATATTTATGGCCTGCCTATATTGCGGCCCCTGGCAAAAGCCAGGGTGGGGCTTCAAATAACAAAAAATTTCGTCCTAAAAAGGACGAAACTGGATATAATATATATATATATCAAGCATAAATTCATATATCAAAATTCATAGAATGAATGTCAAGTAAAAATACAAAGGCATTTATGACAATTCATTTTAATTTTTCCCTATAAAGAATATAACATGTTTCTTTTTTTTTTTCTTGCAGACTAATGAAGGTTCCAGCTATTTCCGCTCGCTGTTGGACTCACTAATTAGCCTACTGGTGCTGCTCACCACCGCAAACAACCCTGATGGTATGTGCCAGGTTTTCTCTCCCTTGTCTACACAACAACAACAAGAGTTATAGAACTTTGTTTAGCTGCTTTATTTATTTTTGGTATTAACACTATGGGCAAAGGTTGGGGATCTGGCCTAACGGAGCTGCTTTACAAGACAAGCTGTGGAGGGTTGACGGTGACTTTAGAAACACCTTCCTGTTTGTGACCCAGGTGGGACGGAATGTTTAGCTTGTCTGATGTCAAATGGAAAAGTTATTTTGGTAGTCAGTTCATTTTTGTTGTCAAAATTTTTAGTCCTCTTTAGTCGTTCCTATCTTCTATCCTGGACTGTACAGAAAATTTACTGTATTGTTCAGTCTTGCTTCATCTTCTTCTATGTCTTCTTCACATTCACCAGCTGTACATACTGGTGGAAAGTTCTGGTTGTTCATCCATTTGTGGACTTTGGTCATGTTCCAGAACTTGAGGTTTGCATATACATCTGTTAACAGATCTGCTTGTTTGTATGCAGAATTTTGAATCCTTGCTTTTCATGTAGATGCTCTCCGACCGAAGGAATTACTCTGAAGTAGTCACCTCCTAGGTCATGCTGATTCAGGGGGAAGTGGGCCTACTCTTCTTTTGTCCAAAATAGGGCTGCAGATCCCACATGGGGAATTGGAATATTGATAATTGTTGTGTTGTGGTTCAAGTGGTTTGATCAAGGTTATGATGATGTGGCTGTGGTGATATAAATGATGGGTTAGTTAGTTAGCCGGGTTATAATCGTTGCACTCTGGACATGTCCATAGGTGCTCAGATCCTACCCTCAGTATGAACCCCAGCGTCCGGTGACTAATTGTACCAGTTCAATGTTGATTAACAAGTCATCTGATGTGCCTGGTGTGCGTCTAATTTTTTGCTAATCCAATATTAACTCCCAAGCCTATTGCTCTGGCAAGTGATGTGGATTCACAGCCCCCAAAGTCCTCCACCCTTCATGTTTCCTGTTTTTAATAATGTCAGCATCATCCATAGGTTGACCGTTGATATTGATAGCGGTTCCAGCAAGCCTATCAACTCTTTTTTTTACATCGATGCCCGCATATCCTGGAAAGAAAATAAAGCACTAGACTGCTGTAATGACTCAAGCCATTGTCTTCGCACTGAACCTGCCCGAAGCCTCCAGATCATGCTCATTGAATCACTGATACACAAGCATAAATGATGGGTGTTATGATGTGACAATGACGTCTCCTATTTTATAAAATTACACAGATGTTTTCTTCTCTCCAGTGACGATGCCCGCCTACAGTCGCAACCGATTTGCTGCCATATTTTTTATTCTCTATTTATTTGTTGGTGAGTAGATCGTAATGTTTCTTGTTTGTAAATCATTGTATAACTTTTCACTTTAGTCATCAGTTATTTTTCTCCAAATTCCACACACCTAAGCTGTACAGAAAGCAGTAGCAGACTCATCTTCATGTAGCAGGCTCCTTGCCATCGATTATAAGCGGTTTGTAACTCTCACAAGTCTGCTCATTTTTTGACATTTCCCCTGTGTGATGATGATGATGAGTCTCTACATTTGACTTGTTTTTTGTATGTTTTTAACCAGGTGTCTACTGCTTCATGAACATGCTGCTGGCTGTCATCTACAACCAGTTCCGGGGATATTTTCTTGTAAGTTTTTTTTTAATCATTACATGAAAATAAGTGTGTGGTCATTTGATAAAGTGAAAGACACCTTTCCACACCATTAAAAGGTTTTTTGGCAGAAGACCGTGCTCATTTTGGAACAGCCAATGAACGGTTTACCTTGAGAAGTGTGTTCTGCCCATCTGTTGTGGACTTTGATGTGTGTTGTCGCTATTGCTGTCTTCTTCTTTTCTCTACTCCTGGAATAGCCTCGCGGCATCAGGGCAGGAAGAGATCTCTGGAACGGGCCCTTCTGTTTGCTTCGTATAATGTACTCTTCATTGTCTCTGATATTTATGTGGTCCATCTTCTGCATGGTCGACCTCTGGATCTGTTACCATTGTATCTGTGTAACATTGCTCTCTCTGGTGCCCTGTCTGATGCCAGTCTTGTTACATGGCCAAACCATTTGATGTGTTGTCTACCTATAAAATGCAGTACTGGTTCTGTGCCGACTCTCCTCCTGATGTCATCATTCCTAAGTTGATCTTTCCTTGTCACACCTAGTAAAGTACATGGACATTTCATTTTTGTCGTGACTTTTTCCCGTCTATCTTCTGACGACAGTGCTGCTATCATCTGATGGAATATCAGAGATGCCAGTAAGTTTGTGACGTAGCTGAATCAACCCAGGGAAGCTCATTCCATGTTCCTTCCCATAAGTTTCTTGGTTTCATGTTAAGCTGGGCTGACCTGATAGCCCTGGTCAGTTAGCAGATTCCTGACTTGAAGGGGATCAATGACCTCTGGACTGACAGGCAAGCATGTTACCCTTTTTTGCTACAACCAGCTCCCTCAGTATTTTAGGGTTTCTGTTCTCTACTTCTGCTTTATTGTCATTCCTTCGTGGGATGCAATTTTTTGTTATTTTGAAGAACAAACCCTGGCATTTGCCGGGGGCCCTGAATATAGCTGGAAATATGGCCTAACATCTTAAATCGGTTTCTAGGACCTCTCCACGAGTGATCTTCATCTGCATGGTAGCACTTTGTGTCACCGGGTGTTTATCACTTGTGTGATGTCCTGGTGGGGTACAACTACCTACCTACCTTCTTCTGCTTTATCCCATAGAAGGGCAACTGGCACATTGTGTTGTGGTTTACAGCTAGGCTGGAAGATCTACCCCTTTTCAGGAAACCCCTAATTAGTTGCCTTTTACGATTAGGGAAGCAGTGGGTCTCCTCCCCCCCCCCCCCCCTCCCCTTAATCCCAAGTCTTGCACCAGGAGTATTTATATTATTACTATATAGTCATTGTCTGTGACCTTGGCATTGCAAATGTGTTTCATAATTCCATGGTGCTGGGTTTGATTCCAGCTGCAGGCAGTTGAGCAGCAGACCACCTGGCGTTGGTTTCGACAGTGGTATCACAAGCCCTCTATTCAGGAAGTAATGGCAGCTACTACTAAACGTAAAATCGCCTAGCTAAATCAGAAACAGCCAAAAAATGGTGGATGTGATTCTCAAACTGTTCTGTAAAAGATAGGTAAAGTATAGTTTTCCCCTTTACAATCGGGGTGTTTCTCCAGGAATAAAGAATTATCACAGTGCAGTACCTATACTGTAGTATATAAGTAAACGAGGTTTCTTATAATCTCTCACATTTTTGCATTCCCCATATCCCAGAATTCAATGCAGGGCAGCTTGTTGAGAAGGAGACTTGGAGTACGGGCAGCCTTTGAAGTGCTGCTCAGGAAAAAGTCCAGCATTCAGGGAGCTTGTTCCACTGCAGAGTCTGTTCCTGGGTATGTTCTTGTATCAGTGGAGCAACTTCAGTTGTTTGGTTGGTATCTTGGTTTCAGTGTGCCAGGTTTGATCCAAACTGCATGCAGTTTGGTAGCAAACCACCTTAGATTGGTTTTGACAGTGGTATTGAGAGCGGACTGTTCAGAAAGCAATGGCAGACTACTGAACATAAAATTGTTTAGTAAGAATCACAAACAGCTAAAAGAAAAAAATGCTGGGGTTGGTTATGTGTGGTTGTCCAGACATTTCTCTTATTTCTTCACTGGGGTTGGTTCTGTGTGGTTGGCCAAACATTTCTCTTATTTCTTCACAGGGATGTTGGTTCAGAAAACAATGGCAGACTACTAAACATAAAATTGTCTAGTAAGAATCACAAACAGCTTTAAAAAAAATGCTGGGGTTGGTTGTATGTGGTTGTCTAGACATTTCTCTTATTTCTTCACTGGGGTTGGTTCTGTGTGGTTGTCCAGACATTTCTCTTATTTCTTCACTGGGGTTGGTTCTCTGTGATTGCCCAAACATTTCTCTTATTTCTTCACTGGGGTTGGTTCTCTGTGATTGCCCAAACATTTCTCTTATTTCTTTACTGGGGTTGGTTCTGTGTGATTGGCCAGACATTTCTCTTACTTCTTCACTGGGGTTGGTTCTGTGTGGTTGTCTAGACATTTCTCTTATTTCTTCACTGGGGTTGGTTCTGTGTGATTGCCCAAACATTTCTCTTATTTCTTCACTGGGGTTGGTTCTGTGTGGTTGCCCAAACATTTCTCTTATTTCTTCACTGGGGTTGGTTCTGTGTGGTTGCCCAAACATTACTCTTATTTCTTCACTCCTTTTGAATTCATCTCATTTTATGTTCATCATTTTCCTCCGGCATTTATTTTCAGAGACATTACGAAGAAAGAATTGTCTGCTCTTTTTTCTCTTCCCATCGGATTTGTCAGGTGTCATCAAGTTTATGTGAGATGTCGAATCAAGATTGATCCTGGCATGTTGAATCAAGAAGTGACATCTCAACACTCGTCCCCATCCATCTCTATCTTCAACAACAAGTGAAGAGTTCCAATTCCTATGGTACCAGTAACTGTCTGGTCTTATATTCGTCTCGCCTTTCCCTTGAGTAATGAGCATCGACCAGAGCCCCTGGTAACTCCTTGCAACGCCATTCTCCTCAGACCCTAATAATCTTTCTGTGCCTCCACCTTTCTCAGCATACTCTGTGAGTCAGTTTCAGTAATGACGTGTGTACAGCTGATTCATAAGCCAGTGGAAAGCAGCATCCTGGCTTCTTTAGACATGTTAGTTTGCCATTGCTTTCTGTACGGCTTAGGGGCATGGAATTTTGCAACTTCCTTAAAGGGACATGCAACTATATTTTGTTTATGCAGTCCTGTTGCATGGATCTTAGAACAAGAACTGAAACATTGTTAATTAGGGTGCCATCTTCATAGGGATGGTTGGCTACAGTGGGTCTTCTGCTGACTGTTAAAATATTATTTTCTGAGACCCCCAGTCTCTTTCAGGATGCCACTCATCTGCAGGAATCGAACTCTGGTATGTCAAGGATTAGATGTTGAAACTATTCCACTAAGATCTGTGCTTCACAACTGTACAAAACAGTTGTAAAAAAACTGTAGGAATTTATTAACTGATGCCTGTACAGAATATCCTTTACAGGACGTTGTAGAGCCAACCCCAACAGCCCCTGGCTGTTGTGTGGTTTTTCTAGGCAAATTTATGTCCAGTAGTTTGCCATTGCTTCCTGGACGGTCGGCTTTCTTGGTAACACTGTCGAAACCAATGCAAAGCCCATGGCCCGCAGCTGGGATCGAACCTGGCATTACGAAGCGTTCGCATCGACTTAGCCACAGAGCCGACTATGCAGAATATATATCTGCGTTTCAAACAACCCACCAAACCCCCTTTGGGGGGGGGGGTTCAAATTTGTTTAATGAAATTTTAAGATTGTTTTTCTTTATAGCAGTTGATAAGTAAGTATTTCCTGTTTTGCTCATTTGACTTCTGGTGGATTGTGTTAATTCTATTTGGGGTTTTACAGTTCAGGAGTGGGAGGCGGAGTCATCAAAGCTGTTGTTGACAAGTGCCTGCTGCCAAAACATGTGAAAACTGCTCTGTTTGAGGTCAGTAAACTTATATTCTCTGCTAATGTTTCTCCCTTGGAGTAGTAGTAGAATAGTGTTGTGTGTCTTCTCTTTGTGCTGTCAGCATAACTTCAGGGTTGACATAGCTCCATCTTGTAGTGGTTAGTTAGTTAGTTAGTTAGTTAGTTAGTTAGTTAGTTAGTTAGTTAGTTAGTTAGTTAGTTAGATAGTTAGTTAGCTAGTTAGTTAGTTAGTTAGTTAGCTAGTTAGTTAGTTAGTTAGCTAGCTAGCTAGCTAGCTAGTTAGTTAGTTAGTTAGCTAGCTAGTTAGTTAGTTAGTTAGTTAGCTAGCTAGCTAGCTAGCTAGTTAGTCAGCTAGTTAGTTAGTTAGTTAGTTAGTTAGTTAGTTAGTCAGCTAGTTAGTTAGTTAGTCAGCTAGTTAGTTAGTTGACAGAATATCCTCATTGCACATCAAACCATTCAGTCCATAAATGCTCTGATCCCCTTTTCAGCAAATCCTGCAACATGTAGCAGCCAACGACACCAGTCTTGTGTTGGTTTCTTATTCTTCTTTAACTTTCAACACAATGCTATTTTCTGGCCACAACCCTTTTAACATGGCTGTTGTTAGATTCTTGTCATGCTTGCAGATTCCCTGTCATCACTTGGTTCTCACAGACATCAGCTGTGAGATGTTGAGGAACTAATTGTGTCTCCTTGTCTTCAAGAGTTACACTACAGTACTATAGAAACTTCTTAATTATATAATTTTAGAACCCAGTTACGTATTTTCAATTCTAATGTTATTTAAGTTTCAACATATGACAATAAAAGTTAGAGAACCACGAACAACACTGAATGGAAGTTAAGTGCATCAGAAAACAAATGCCTGAGGAAAATTATGAACATACAATGAGATGAATTTAAAGAGGAGTGAAGATATAAGAAAAATGTTTGGGCATCAACTACCATCAACAGTTTTAAGATGGAGAAGACTGCAATGTATTTGACACTTTCTGAGAAGAGACAAACAAAGAATCACTAAACAGGCACTAAAGTGGGAAATACAGGGATTGAGGAAATGAGGACAGCCAAGTGAAACTCTAAAGTGAACGTTCAGAAGAGAGGACCGAGGTGCTTGATTTGATCCACAATATCGAAGTGACTGTATGGGATGGAACGGAATGGAGCGCTAGACTGTGAGCCCTATGTAATGTATTATGACACCGTAGGATGATGAACATGATGAAGAAATCTGATTACACAGGTATATAAGAAGAAGATCAGGACAGAAGATGTATTTATTTTTGGAGAAAAAAAAAATATGACTTGGTAAATGAAATGAGATCAGGATAAGACAGTTGTGCTGGTTTGGTCAGACAAAAAGGGCAACCACTTGTTAAAGAATATGCCAGAAAAAATGTCTGGGGGGAAAAACGGAAGGCAATTTTTCAAGTGGGTTGACATCACTAAAGTCACAGCAGAAAGATGTGACACATACCCGAACATGCTGTGTGCAGCATAGAATGGAACAGAGGAATGGACTACCAGCGCTATGTAACACATAAAAGCACAACAGGACAATGAATGGGGAAATCAATATAGAACCAGTAAAGGGCCCTTTTCCACCACCTTTAGGCATATTCGGCATATAGGTAAGGGACCCTTGTCCATGCTTTCAAGTGTATTGAGCGTATTGCGCTAGACCTAAATTTTCTAGACCAGTGATTCCCAAATTGTGCGCCAGGGAATCATGACGTCTTCACACAGATGCACTGCAAAATATTTGAAGATGCACAATTTTTTTTTGTAAATATTTTTTTTAACGAATAGTCATACTTTGCCTTAGGTTAGAGCGCCATAGAAAAATTGTAATTGACAAAAAGGCGCAGCGACTAAGACAATTTTAGGAAACACTGTTCTAGACCAATCGGCACTGGGTGGGTGATGTGATCAACATCACGCCGGCTGCCTTTACTTCCCAGGACTGTGCCTGGTAACTATCTCTCAAGGCTGGGTTGACCTTGGAGACAAGGTCATTTTTTTAAAGAAAACTCCATCTCCATTCGGATTTGAATCTGTGACCTTCGGATCCACAAGTGAGCATCTAGCCACTACACAAATGGCAGCTCCTTCCAGATAACAATGTTACTATTTTATATATCCCTCTTTACAGGGATCTCCATGGTGAAGTGGCTCAGTCTGTTTGCCTGAAAGTGATGGGTTCGTTTCACAACTGTGTCATTCGGTTCATTGATGCAAGTTTTTATGGAGACCCCTGGGGATTGTCACTAGAGCTATGGTGTTCATGCTTTGTGTGATGCTTTCGACAGGCAGCTAGCTTTTCTGTGAAAAGAGACAGATCTTTATGGGATAAAGCCTGGGGCAGTGAAGTTACTCCTCTCGACCTAAACCTTTAATCTTAATCCCTATATGGACCCATCTTACACACAGGCCGCATTATCATTATCCTGTTTGTGTTATTTCCATTTGATGGATACATTTGATACATTTTTTTAAAAATCTGACACCAGGACTTGAGTGGCAGGGAGAGTGCCATGTTTTCTGCTGCCGAGTTTCATGAGCTGTTTAGTTGTTTGGACAAGAACACAGTCAAGAGACAGGTAAAAGTGACACAGTTTTATGTATGCACCAACATTTTTTTTACAGATTTAAATGTATGTAAAACACAATACATAGAGTTACATATACATCAACATTGTAAATAGATTTCCATATGCATCAGCACTGTAAATAGATTTATGTATTTATCAACATTGTAAATAGATTTATATATACATCATCATCATCAGGTGCCTTGCCGACTGGCGTGGGCGGTCATGCCTCTCCACAATCTGTGATCTTTTGCAGCATATATCAGTTCATGTGCCGACACACCTCCGTGCCATGCAGCAAGACTGCTGTTCCTCTATTCCTCCTTCCACAGATCTTTCCAGTGGTCACAACATGTTCCATTTTCCTTCTTTTCATAACATAGCTGAAAAATGATGACTGTCTCCTTCTGATGTCTAAGTTGTCTTCAGACTCCCGCCTCTTTCAAAACTTCTTGGTTGCTCTTTTTGACTGTTCAAGGTATTTTAAGCATTCTTCTGAAAACTCACATCTCTAAGGTCTTCAAAAAATTGTTTGGCCTGCCTACCGATGTTCCAGGACTCACAGCTGTATGTTAAAACTGGATGTGTTTAGCACGCAAGAATTGAACGTAGTAAATAGATTTACGTGTACATGTAAATGTTTTTAATCTATACAATTGTAAATTATCTGCAGACGCCCGGTGTTCGATGGATGAAAGACCCCAGACTGAAGATGATACAACGAGTATTTATCCACAGATACTTCAACTTTTTTGGCATGGGCGTGGCTTTCGTTAATCTCATTGTCATCTCGGTAATGTCAGATCATACATAACCATCATCTTAGCTTAGGGGTTAATAACATTGTTTTCCTGTCTGTGTTCCGGGGCTCCGTATGGGATGGGGGGAGGGGGTGGGGAAAACCCACTGCCCCTTATCAAACATGTCATGAGTCCACTGATGAGGGAGTTGGAGTGCATCGGCCTGAGAAGCAAGGAGCTAACACTCTGTATACATATCGGCCAGATCTGTAAAACAGATGTGCACTCAAAACTCAAGATCTGGATCAACAGCAAAGTCCAGGAGTGGACCGACAACTAGAACTTTCCGCCGAAGTTCACTGCTGGTGAACGCTAAGACGACAAAAAAGAAGAACAATTTGTTAATTTTTCCATCCAGAAGGTCATAGTTTGTGCCCCAGTAAGTCCAATTAAAACTGTCCAACTGTCTATTTTACCACTTTTGTTTAGAGTGGTGTAGACAGGGTGTCAGGAGCCTGAGGAGTTAGGGGCGCATAGCTGGTGCTGCGCCACGGACAGTAAAGGTTAGGGTGTTTAATTTTGCCCCCGACAAAAAAACTCCATCACCTTACCGGGGTTCGAATCCGGTTCTCCTGCATGAAAGCCCGACGTTGTAACTGCTTGGCCAGCCACTGCTCACAATCAGCTGTAACTTCAACTAAATAATGGGTATACTACATCCACAGGATCCAAATACACATCCCTTGGGGGAAACAACTGTGTTGTTGAGTTTTACCATGTTCCGTCTAAACAAAGAATTTGATTGGCACCTTTCCGTCTCTCCAGACGATAGTGTTATATTGTGCTATGAGGCATGGGACTCACAGGGCATGGCGATGGTGAGTGTGACTAGTAAGACTCGCCCGCATTAAGAAAAGTCTTCCACAATTACAGCATGGGATTTCAGGACCACTGTTGTCAACATTTATATTTAGTCATTTTTCTTCTCAGACGCTCAGCTGTCATGTTTTCTGCAGTGACTTCTGCTTTCATTCTCATTCCCTTCCTGATGTGCCCCCTCCACACGACATGGTCCACAGCATTTTGTTCCCACAGGTCCACCTCAATACCTGTATCATTCATGTCCCACTTGCACACATCTTTATATCGTAGTAGACCTCGGCCTTGGGTGAATCCAGTCATACGTGGTGCATTGTTTGTGACTGAAAGATTTCAGTAAGAATTCAGTAAATATTTTGTTGGACACAAACAGATGCCTACTGCTTTGCTTGTTGGCAAACCTCAGTAGTTTGATGGATGGATGCCCACCTGCCGGTCGAAAGATCTTCGTTTTAAATCCGCGTTAAGTTGGATATTTTCAAAACTGACCTTCTCTCCAAGGTCGATCCAGCCTTAAAGAGGTAATAGGTCTCTTCTTTTTTGTGTTCACACTACAATGATTGTGTTGCAATCATGTCTCACTATGTTGACTGTGTTGCAATCATGTCTCACTATGTTGATTGTGTTACAATCATGTCTCACTATGTTGATTGTGTTGCAATCATGTCTCACTATGTTGATTGTGTTGCAAACATGTCTCACTATGTTGATTGTGTTGCAATCATGTCTCGCTATGTTGATTGTGTTGCAATCATGTCTCACGATGTTAATTATGTTGCAATCATGTCTCACTACATTGATTGTGTAGCAATCATGTCTCACTACGTTGATTGTGTTGCAATCATGTCTCACTACGTTGACTGTGTTGCCATCATGTCTCACTACGTTGACTGTGTTGCCATCATGCCTGACTACTTTGATTGTGTTGCAATCTTGTCTCACTACATTGACTGTGTTGCAATCATGTCTCACTATGTTGACTCTGTTGCCATCATGTCTTACTACTTTGATTGTGTTGCAATCATGTCTCAATACTTTGATTGTGTTGCAATCATGTCTCACTATGTTGACTGTGTTGCCATCATGTCTCACTACCTTGATTGTGTTGCAATCATGTCTCACTATGTTGGTTGTGTTCTAATCATGTCTCACTACCTTGATTGTGTTCCAGTCATGTCTCACTACTTTGATTGTGTTGCAATCATGTCTCACTACATTGATTGTGTAGCAATCTTGTCTCACTACTTTGATTGTGTTGCAATCATGTCTCACTACATTGATTGTGTAGCAATCATGTCTCACTACTTTGATTGTGTTGCAATCATGTCTCACTACATTGATTGTGTAGCAATCATGTCTCACTACTTTGATTGTGTTGCAGTTATGTCTCACTACATTGATTGTGTAGCAATCATGTCTCACTACTTTGATTGTGTTGCAATCATGTCTCACTACATTGATTGTGTAGCAATCACGTCTCACTACTTTGATTGTGTTGCAATCATGTCTCACTACATTGATTGTGTAGCAATCATGTCTCACTACTTTGATTGTGATGCAATCATGTCTCACTATGTTGACTGTGTTGCCATCATGTCTCACTACTTTGATTGTGTTGCAATCATGTCTCACTATGTTGGTTGTGTTCTAATCATGTCTCACTACCTTGATTGTCCTGCAAATGATTGCTGATCGGTCAATGAAAATATAATTCCTGCATCCTATGCTGGAAATACAATTGGTGTAAATTATCAGTCCTTGGGTGACACCGAAAAGTTGTAATATTTTTTCGGCTACCAACTGTTGTGACTTTTGTAAATATAATTCACCTTGTCTAATTGTCTGCTTTTTTTCCTAACAGGTGCAACTTGGTGCCAAATATGACGCCTCGTTCCGTGAAAGTCACTCCACATTAAGGGTAGGTATTATAAACTCAAGTTAGTATGCTCAGGAAGATAGAGATGTGCTGGGTCCAGAGACAGTGGATACTGTCTTTGAGGTGGTCAGAACTAACAATGATTAGTTTCATTTTCATGCCAAGATGTGCATGTGTCTAGGGGAATGAGCAAGCTGATAGGCTTTGCAAATAAGACTACTATAAAGGCAGGCGTGCCAGGGACCACTGTGATATACAGACAGTTTTATGAGAAGGAAGATGTTTGCAAGAACCAAGTAATGGCTGTGAATCTGCAACCATGACCAGACTACAAGAACTGCATGTTAAAAAGGGCATGGCCAGATAGGAGTACTATGCCAGAAGCCAAAGAAGTATCAGAAATTGTGTTGTGTGGAGGAAAATAGAGGTAAAGGAGACATTAAACTGCAGATAGGTTAATAGCTGGGCGACTGAGAAGAAGTAGAAGCCTCCGTGATTTTTCCCCTAGATGCTCGCCTGCATGGCCGAAGGTTATAGGTTCAAACCTGCATCAAGCCACATATTTTTATTCAAATGATCTTGACTTCCAGGTTAAATCATCTTAAAATGGGTGCCAGGTAAAGTCATTTAAAGTTAAGGTGATGGCATGATGTTTATCACATAAACCATGGAGTGCCAGTTTGTCTATAAAATATAGTTGTTTATTGGTCTATAAAAAATATTGGTCTATCACTGTATACCCCTGGCGTGATGCTGACCACATCACCCATCTTGTGCCGATTGGTCTATAAAAATATAGGTCTTGCCCTATATGCCCTATACGCCTAAATGGCATGGAAAAGGGTCCTTTTTTTTTTTTTTTTTTTTTTTTTTGCTTACTCACTGTATACCTAGCACAGTGATGTGGAAAAGGGTTCCTACCTTTCTTTTCTGAGAAGAAACACATTCAAATTACAACAGAGGTCCTCAGATCCCATGCTGTGATTGTAGAAATCTTTTCTGAACACAAGTTTGTCTTCTAGTCTCACTGGACATCACTCTGAGCTGATTCTCTTGCCTCCCTGTAGCACAGTATAACACTGTCATCTGGAGTGGCTGAAAGGTTCCAACATTTCCCTCCTTCCCCTTTCCTTCTGAAACATTTGGAAACTTCTGGAATTTGTCTGGTACCTATTTTATGAGGCTGGGTTGACCCCAAAGCTTTGGTGATCAGAAAAAAAAAAATATTCATCTTCTGGAAATTGATCACGACGTACGACTGTCTCGGCAAGAAACATATATAAAATGTCTAAATTTTGTCACATAATTTAACTTATTTTTGTTTGCTTCAACTTAGGCGAATATTAAAAATTGCTTTATTATTTTACTAGCAATTGTATATTTAGTAGTTTGCTATTGCTTTCTGGATGTCAACACTCCTCACCATTGATGAAATAAATACAAGCAGTCTGCTGCCTAATTGCCAGCAGCTCAATCGGATCGCATATTTCAAGTCCCCTTGGTAACTCAGAACCACACACGTCAACTAAATATAATTACTATTTAGGTTTATTTTCAATATCAGAATTAACCAATATTCTGTGAAGTTTTCAGCTCGTTATGAAGTGAAAATGGTGCGAAATTGAATGTTTCAGATTTTTCTTGTGTTGCACTTTTTATTTATCTTGATATATATATTTTTTTAATAATAAATTATGCTTTCTCATTATGCTAGGTTGTCAACTTCACCTTCGCCATCTACTATTTACTGGAACAACTTGTTAAATTCTGGGCATTTGGATGGCGGAAATATCTGGCAGACAAAGGCAACATTTATGATGCTGTCATTACTTCAGCTCTAATTGTGAGTTTTTTATCATAAATAAAATTCATAATTATGACTAGTTTTTACTTTGATTATATCTGTAGTGAAATATTTGTAATTCATAATCAACATTAAATTAAGCCTCACCTGTTGCCAAAGAACTATTTCCTTGAAAACAGACCCGCAGTCTCCCTTCCCTTTTCCACGTCCACATACTTGCATGACGTGGAAAAAATGGTACAATAACTTCGCTTTCTGAGCAGTTTGGTTTCCAGACATATAATCTGTTTCCAAATAGAACCTCTATTTCTAAACAGCCAGTCTTGAAATCATATACTTCACGATATGAAATTGTGGCAAAAGAGGGAACTTTTGTTTAATGCTGATTCCTGCGTGAATATACGGTGTCTCAGTTATAAGGTTATATCCACCAGACCAACACATGCTCTTGTCTCACAGTGGTCAAAACTATGTCTCCTTCTGACCTCAATGTCCATTTTCTCTGTTAGTTTCAGTAATAATGTTAACTTCTGCATTCTGTCCCCCAGTGAAGCAAAGGCTCTCAACCATTTCACACCATCATTCTAACCTTAGCTATTGCATGCAGCTCCCCCCTGTGCTCCCCATCTTTTTAACTTCACTCTGCAGCTCCCTTCTCCATGTGTTTTTGATCTGCCTCTTTTCCATAGCTGGTTGATTTTTGTGGCTATTGTAACTACAGTTCAAACTCTTACTATAGGCTCTCACCACAGTAAGGACATTAACCATATTTTTCAGTGTACAAGATTTGATGTTTTCCCAAATAATTTTTTTTTGGGAGGAAGGGGGGTGGGATTTCAAGTTTAAAATGGGGGGGGGGGGCATCTTATACACAGACTGTCTTTAATATATTTAAATTTCAATTTTTGGCTAAACAGTTAGGGGCTGTCTCATACATTGAGGGGTCTTATACACAGAAAATTATAGTAACTCTTATCTGATTCACTCCTCAACGGTCACATTCTCACACACTTGGGCTTTTGGTACTTGGTCCACGACAGTTGTGTAGGAACAAATGATGGTAAAAAGTTATGACCAAAGAAATAGTTACGATCAAAGAAATAGTTATGAATAAAGAAATAGTTATGAATAAAGAAATAGTTGTGAAAAAAGAAATAGTTGTGAACAAAGAAATAGCTATGAACAAACAAAAAAACAGTTATGAACAAAGAAATAGTTATGACTGAAGAATTAGTTGTGAACAAAGAAATAGTTATAAACGAAGAAATAGCTATAAACAAAGAAATAGTTGTGAACAAAGAAATAGTTGTGAATAAAGAAATAGCTATGAACAAAAAAAAACAGCTATGAACAAATAAATAGTTGTGAACAAAGAAATAGTTGTGAACAAAGAAATAGTTGTGAACAAAGAAATAGTTATGAACAAAAAAATAGTTATGAACAAAAAAATAGTTATGAACAAAGAAATAGTTGTGAACAAAGAAATAGTTATGAACAAAGAAATAGTTGTGAACAAAGAAATAGTTATGAACAAAAAAATAGTTATGAACAAAGAAATAGTTATGAACAAAGAAATAGTTATGACTGATGAACTAAGAATGATTTTAGGTGCAGTGCTGGTACATTATTTAATAAAACATTCAAGACTCAAATGGTTTGGTCATCTGGTCAGACTGCAGCAGGATGGGCAAGCAGCTAGAGCGTACCACATGAGAACAGCAGAGACTAAAAGGCAAGAGGCCGACCAAGAAAGAGATGAATGGTGTAGGGAGTGCAAGAGACACTACATAAACACAATATGACATTATCACAAGCTACTCAACTAGCAAAAGACAGGACACTATATCTAACTCCTCTTTGTGACTCTTTTGCAGCAAAAGAAGTAGGACAAAAGAAGAAGAAAAGTTATGAGAACACGCTTGACCCCTTATAGTGGTGATGGCACATTATTTAATGTATATCTTTGTTACAGATTGGTGAGGTGGTGTCTGCAATACTATATGGCATACCGTATTTCCCCAAGTAAGTGCTTTATTTTTCACTGTTACATCCAGACATGTTGACTTGTCAACAAATGTATGGTCTCATAAGTTCTTACAGCATACTGGTGGGTCTTTTGCAGTAGATAGGCAAGTTTTTACAGAAGAAATAATCCAATCAACTGACTAAAAAAGCTTAATGAAATGGAGAAACAGAACAAGGGGTACAAAATAACACAAATCAACATTTTAGATGGGTGTCTCTCTCTACTTAAACTAAACTACACATCAGTTTTAGTCACAGTTCATTGGATTAATTCTTTTGTGTTAGCTAAACTGCAATCACCTCTATTTTCACCATTTTTTGCACGTTCTTACAATACACAGGTGGATAGTTATATAACATAGGTAATTTCTTAGAGGACACTGGTAGGTTTTGACATTACATTGGTAGATCAGTACACAAGTAGATCTTTACAGTGCATAGGTAAGTTCTTACAGTATACAGGTAGATATTTCATAAGTCATTTCTTAGACGACACTGGTAGATATTTACATTTCATAGGTAGATCAGTACACAGGTAGATCTTTACAGTACATTGGTAAGTTCTCACAGTACACAGGTGGATTCTTACAATACACAGACAGACCCTTACAGTACACAGGTTGGTCCTTAAAATACACAGCCACATCCTTACAGTACATAAGTAGAACCTTATAGGACACAGGTAGATCAATACAGTACGTAGGCAGAGCATTAAAATACACAGATAGAGCATTGCAGTACACAGCTAGAGCATTACAGTACACAAATAGAGTAACACTGTACAGAGGTGGAGCATTATGGTACACAAATAGAGCAATACGGTACACAGACAGAGCATTACAGTACACAGATAGAGCATTACTGTACACAAATAGAGCAATGCAGTACACAGAGCATTACAGTTCCCAAATAGAGCAATGCAGTACACAGGTAGAGCATTACAGTACACAGGTAGAGCATTACAGTACACAGGTAGAGCATTGCAGTACACAGGTAGAGCATTGCAGTACACAGCTAGAGCATTACAGTACACAAATAGAACAATGCAGTACACAGATAGAGCATTATGATACACAAATAGAGCAATACAGTACACAGATAGAGCATTACACTACACAGGTAGATAATTACAATACACGACAAAGGTCCTCAATAAGTGTTCTGCATATCCTTGTCTGAGATTCGTGTTACACTGCACAGGTCAAGGGAGATGATCATGCACAGTAGCAGTAGCGTAATGTGGAACATGCTGCGATTGGTGAATATTTTGATTATGGCTCGGATGCTGAAGGTCATTCCATATGTCAAGGTAGATCATATTCTTCTCTCTCAGTGAATGCTGTATGTTATTTTTTTTTTTTGTTGTTTAATATTGGTATTTAATATTGTTATTTTTCATTGTTGTTATTTTAAATTTTTTGTTTGTTCTTTATATTGATATTTGTTATTTTATATTGCTGTTTGTTATTTTATATTACTGTTTGTTATTTTATATTGCTGCTTGTAATTTTATATTGATTTTTGTTATTTTATTCTGGGAGGGTTTTTTTTTGGGGGGGGGAGGGGGGGGACACAATGATGATGTAAAATAGTGATTTGTAAAAAAGATTCTTTAACACCCACAGATTGGCAAAAACAGGAAAAAAGGTTTCGTTGAGTGCCTGAAAAGTTTTTTAAAATATAGATAGTTTATTTATGGAATCCTACTTTTGTGGCAGACCACCAGGAAATGGCTATGGGGCAAAGAAGATGGTGCTATTTTGGGCACAACGTGAGTAGAGACGGACAGAGGATCACCAAACAGACACTGAAATGGGAAATTGATTGAGGAAGTAAGGACCTATAAGAGAAACACTGGGATGAATGTTGGTAAGAGTGGCCAAAGGTGCTTGACTAAAGGTGCTAGACTTGCATTCCATCCATAGCATTAAAAGGATTGCACTGGATGGGAAGAAATTGAGGATTAGTCTGCAGGCACTGTGGGATATATAATGGCAAAACAGGATGATGATGAGGGAGCAGACAGTGATGAGAGGATGTTGACACTGATAAGGATTATGATGAGACTAGTGGTGATAATGATGTTGTTGGTGATGATGATGGTGGTGGTGGTGATGATGGTGGTGGTGATGATGATGTTGGTGGTGGTGATGAGGATGTTGGTAGTGGTGATGATGATGTTGGTGGTGGTGATGATGATTTTGGTGGTGGTGATGATGATGTTGGTTTTGGTGATGATGTGGATGGTTTTGGTGATAATGATGATGGTGGTAGTGATGATGGTGGTGGTGATGATGATGGTAGTGGTGGTGGTGATGATGATGATGTTGGTGGTGGTGATGATGTGGATGGTTTTGGTGATAATGATGATGGTGGTAGTGATGATGGTGGTGATGATGATGATGGTAGTGGTGGTGGTGATGATGATGATGATGGTGGTTTTGGTGATGTTGGTGGTAGTGATGATGATGATGGTGGTGTTGGTGATGGTGGTGATGATGATGATGATTTTTGATATGATGATGATAATGATAGAGATGTTAGTGGAAATGGTAATAAAGGATGACGATGAGGATGATGACGACGACTTATTTTAGCATGAACATTGTTCTGTTTCCTGTTTTCAGTCCATGTCTGTTGTTGCCATGGTTCTTTTGGACTTGATGAAAAATATGAAATCTTTTGCAGGCATCCTTGTTGTAAGTACAGCTACATGTTTGTGGTTTTTCTTTAACAATTGCAATGCTTCAGTTGACATTTTTTAATGTTTGGGGTGTCTCCACATTAAAGGTCGACTACATTGTAAACAATCTTGTCTTTCAGGACTTTACCTGGCAAGGCTGTGATCTGTATCACTCGTAACTCTCATCTTTCAGGACTTTACCTGGCAAGGCCGTGATCTGTATCACTCGTAACTCTCGTCTTTCAGGACTTTACCTGGCCAGGCTGTGATCTGTATCACTCGTAACTCTCGTCTTTCAGGACTTTACCTGGCCAGGCTGTGATCTGTATCACTCGTAACTCTCATCTTTCAGGACTTTACCTGGCCAGGCTGTGATCTGTATCACTCTAAACTCTCGTCTTTCAGGACTTTACCTGGCCAGGCTGTGATCTGTATCACTCGTAACTCTCGTCTTTCAGGACTTTACCTGGCCAGGCTGTGATCTGTATCACTCGTAACTCTCGTCTTTCAGGACTTTACCTGGCCAGGCTGTGATCTGTATCACTCGTAACTCTCTGTCTGAAAACCATAAGAGGGTGTTTTTTTTTTTTAAACTGACCATCCGCTGAGGAAATTGTTAATCACGTCCACTTTCCTTTAAGCCACAGAGCCTTTTAGGAAATAGCTTTTTTTGTGTGTGTGTGTGGTTGGGGGGGGGAGGGGGGGGTTGGAGGTCCTTGACATTTTAGGCCTTTGGCCCCGTGAATGTTAAATCAAAAATAATTCTTGAACCTATGGGAATTTCCCCAGGCCCCCACCACCACTCCCCAAACAATTCTTTGAAAAGCAACCATTTGACACAGATCACTGGGTAAACATTTTTATTTATTCATCTTCATTGTTTTTTTTTTTTTGTTTTTTTTTTTTATTAAATATAAAGATATATAAATGGGAAAATCTGTTAGAGAACAGAAATGCAGAAATGCCGACACATCCGCATTTACGATGACAGGTTTAATTCCGTTTTTATGTTTCATGGGTGGGATTATGTAAGACAGACTTGTTTGTGTGTCTGCATTGTAGAGAGAGAATAATCTTCTTATTCGTGTTCACTGGCTGTAAAACTCTGGTGGAAAGTTCTGGTTGTTCATCCACTTCTGGACCCCATTTTCGGAGCAAAAAATAATTGATCCTGTGCCCCCTTCATAAGCATGTCATAGAAGGCTTCTAATTAGGGATGTTTCTTTCAAAGTCGGAATGCACCTGCCTCAGAGGCAAGGAACCAATGGTCTGCATACGAATAAGCCACATCTCTAAATATGGATGTATACGCAAAACTCAGGTACTGAAAAAAAAGTCAAGAAATGGACAAACAGCAAGGAATTTCTGCCGGAGGTTACAGTCGGTAAACGCAAACAAAAATATTCTTCTTCTCAAAATCCATGCTGTGTGGTGTTGGTAGTCATGTCTGTCCACAACCTTCTGTCTCATGTACTTTCAGTCAACTCTGACAGATGACCCTCCCTGCCATGATGTCAAACTGTCCAGCATCTTTTCCCTCAGTCTCCCTCTGCCTCTTCATCCCTCCAACTTTCCTACTGTCACGATGTACTTAAGTTTTCCCCTTATTTTCACATCAAGAAAATTATGGTCTGTTCTTATTTTTCTTCTGTGTTTGTCTTTAAATGGCCGGTTGGTACAGTGTGTTGTGGTTTACAGCTAGGCTGCAGTATCTATGGATTTCAGCCCAACACATCTGATTCAACAAATCTTTAAATAGTCATCTTTTACAATATGCTTGCTAGGGGTCGCTGGGTCTGACCCCCACACCAACATAAGGCTCCAGAACCCACACAGGGATATCTTCATTTCTGACCGAGAAAATTTGTATGAAATGTCATTAGATGTCCTTTTGTCATGTCTTTCTAATAAAGATATGTTATAATTATTGGACAATTATACAGTGTAGACTTGATAAGGAGAACTCACCAGGGACCCAAGAAATGGTTCTTCTTATCAGAAATTTCTCTTGTCAAGATAGGAGTTCAAGCAAGAAAAATGGCCAGGGATAAACAAATTGTTATTCTCAACAGAAATTTGCCACATTCAAGATCACCTTAAGCAGTCTGCACTGTAACAGTTTTGTGTTTCTAACAAAAAAAAATGGAGCAATCCCACATTATGGCGCAACACATTTTAGCATGTGTATCAATAAATCATACTTTATGATTGAGAATTTTGAAGAACCACTTTATACTATCAGTGCCCAATATGGACAATGAGTAGACCCCAGGATTTGAAAAATAGCCACCTTAAAAATGTGCTGTCTCCAAAAGGTCACCAGACAAGAAGAGACAGGGTCATAGATACAAGCATAAGAGAGAAGGTTTTAAATAGACTGCACCTGAAGAATGAAGTGGTTTGGCCAGCTAGTAAGAATGAAGCCAGACAAAAAGATGAATAGATGATGTAGTAAATCTTACCAAAAAAATAAGAACAATGTCAGCACTCATATCACCGCGCAAGGCACATACAGAAAACCATGACACCGGACTACAACCTAGTAACAGTGTGATGACAATAGAACAAGAGAAATTGTGGTGAAATTTGAATACTCATGCAAGTAAGCAAAGCATATGATGATTGATGAGGCTAGTGATGAATCATCAGTTCCAGCATGACTTTGGTTATCTCATGTTTGGTTTGTTCAGGGTTTATATTTGCATTTTCAAGTTGTTCCTTTTTCCCCTCAAAATGTTGCTTGTTTGTTTTAGTTAATTTATTTTATTTATTTTTTTTCCTTCAGGTTATAATTTATGCATTTGCCATTTTCGGGATGCAACTTTTCCAGGGCACCATCACATACGAGGCCGAATTTGTCAACAGGTGAATATAGCAGACACATGACGACAGCTGGAGACTTCTTCTTGTTTTTTCCTGTCTGCCCGCTGTCTAAAGAGTAGAAAATCTGATTTGTTCCAAGTGCTGGTTCGGACCTTGCCATGAGGTATCATGAGGAGTCACAGTTTCTGTTCTGGTATTGTGTGTCTGTGGCACTGGCTAATGTGAGCTTGTGTCATTTTAAGGTTTTGTTGATATTGTAGATCCATCTGCTCCCTGGTCTACCTCATGCTGTACAGCCTACTCTTATGGTTCTGTCACCCAGCTACTGAGTTGAGTGCTTGGTGTGACCCTGTGAACTGTGGATTTCATGTGGAATGTTTTTTCTTTCTTTTGTGCCGGTGGCGTGTTGTTGTCTGCACAAAAATGGCGGGTGCCCGATTATGTTCAAAATGGTATGTACTTTTGCAAGTGTAATGCCAGCTTTCATGACTGACCTTTTGCACTAACAATGAGCTGCAATTTTCATGTGGGACCATTATTGTTGGCTGATCATACTGCCCTTTGCATTCTCACTTTGCATGTGCAAGCTTCAGTATTTTGCCGGGACTAGCAAGTTTTCAAAATAGGAGAGTGAAGGATATTTTGTGTGGTTTCCTGTTGGCACAGAAACAGAGCAATTTTGGGGCAACTCATCTCCAGTGATTCAGAATGTTGACTAAATAACAACTAAACTATTGTAGATTGTTCAACCATTCTTTCTCTTTACATGTATTTGTAATGAGTCATTTTCTCATTGGTGGTAAATTCTCTTATTGTTTGAAAATTAGGACAACTGCTAACATTAATTATGAGTGAGAATTCGGATGGATGGCATTGATTTCTAGTTATAATGTTTCCATGAACTGATCGAGTAAGGGAACTAACTCGAGGCACAGTGCAGTTTGGCTAAAGTGTGCCAGATGAGAAAAGCATGAAATTGTGAGTGAGTTGAACATTTGAGTGCACATGAGAAGTAGAATGGATAATTTAAAGCTTGGAGCAAGTGAGGACCATGGATGAAATTCCTCCTCTCCACAGCACAAAGCCCGTGCAGTTTTGTAGTGACCTTGTTTACTCTAAAATAAAGGTGATTCCAATATGTTTAGAACAAAGCACTCTGCAGAAGTTGCTGGATCAGAAGAGCGGTGCTCGGCCACCCACCATTTTGTAGATTGTTCAACCGTCCTTTTCTCCATAAACATATAATAGATCTATTGTAGACTGTTCAACCATTATTTTATCCCCACAGTTCAGATCAATTGTAGATTTTCTCCCCATGTATCATACATATAATTGTTTTACAGTACTGTTCAACCATTCTTTTCTTCCTACACATTCAGAAGATCTATTGTAGATTGTTTCAACCATTCTTTCCCTTCGCACATGTTATTTTTCTACAGTACATTGTTCAACCATTCTTTCCCTGCACACATATAATTGTTCTACCGTTTTGTTGTTCGACCATTCTTTCCCTGCACACATATAATTGTTCTACCGTTTTGTTGTTCGACCATTCTTTCCCTTCATACATGTGATTGTTCTACCGTTCCGTTGTTCAACCACTCTGCTGACACTCAAAGGGAAAGAGCGAGATGGATGTACAGTCAGACAGTTGTACCATTGGAATTGGAACTCTTTGCTTACTGCTAAAGATGGGGACGGAGCGCTTATGGGAGTGTCCTGGGTGCTGTGATGTCGATTCTTAATTCTGCATTCATTCAACATTTGACATTGTTCAACCACTCTTTCCCTTCACACATATGATTGTTCTAAAGCACATTGTTCAGCCACTCTTTCCCTTCACACATATGATTGTTGTACAGTACATTGTTCAACCACTCTTTCCCTTCACACATATGATTGTTGTACAGTACATTGTTCAATCACTCTTTCCCTTCACACATATGATAGTTATACAGTACATTGTTCAACCACTCTTTCCCTGCACACATATGATTGTACAGTACATTGTTCAACCAGTCTTTCCCTTCACACATATGATTGTACAGTACATTGTTCAACCAGTCTTTCCCTTCACACATATGATTGTTGTACAGTACATTGTTCAACCACTCTTTCCCTTAACACATATGATTGTTGTACATACATTGTTAAACCACTCTTTCCTTTCACACATATGATTGTTGTACAGTACAGTACATTGTTCAACCACTCTTTCCATTCACATATATGGTTGTTGTACAGTACATTGTTCAACCACTCTTTCCTTTCACACATATGATAGTTGTATAGTACATTGTTCAACCACTCTTTCCCTGCACACATATGATTGTACTGTATATTGTTCAAGCACTCTTTCCCTTCACACATATGATTGAACAGTACATTGTTCAACCAGTCTTTCCCTTCACACATATGATTGAACAGTACATTGTTCAACCAGTCTTTCCCTTCACACATATGATTGTACAGTACATTGTTCAACCACTCTTTCCCTTCACACACATGATTGTACAGTACATTGTTCAACCACTCTTTCCCTTCACACATATGATAGTTATATAGTACATTGTTCAACCACTTTTTCCCTTCACACAGATCATTTGTCTGTGGATCTTATGAGCAGCTGGAATACTGGGCTAACAACTTTAATGACTTCTACGTAAGTAGATCACTTCAATATTTTGTTTGCTTTATGCTTTTATCCTGGAAGAGGAACTGTGCAGCCTAAAAACTGAACTTTATGGCAGGGCAGACCAGATCTTTGATGAATGGCTGGCTGAATGGTTAAGAACGCTGGTCTGTCGTGCGAGAGACCCAGTTTGAAATCCTCTCTAAGGTTGTGGATTTATTTCTGTCAGAAGTAAAAATAAAGTCCTAACCTGCACAGTCCAAGGCGACAGCACTAGCCATACAGCTCTGAATCCTCATCTCAAAGACCTCCCTGCCTTCACCGAAAAAAGTGGTAAATATCGGCAGTAAAGAGTTTTCTTTTAGACCAGGCTTTTAGCCTTGGTTGGCAGCTGGTCTAGGAGGAAAGCTCCCATAGGATGACAGAAAGAGCACTGATTTTCTAATCCAGCAGCTTCTGCAGCAATGCTTTGTTCTTAAACCTATTGTATTTACCTTTTCTTTAGAGTAAACAAGGTAGGCCGAGCGAAGGATCATGCTGCATAGACAGCACATGATCTCTACAATACGCTTTAAATGGGTAAAAGACATTCCGGAGTTGCAGTTAAGCTCCATTTTTTGGATCAGCACACCTGGTCATGCAGGAGTAAATGGTAATAAAAGAGCTGACTAGCTGACAGGTAATGCACCAATGCAAACGGGAAGAAGCATGGACAGACCTGATATCATCAACAGTGTACTGACCAGGTTGGGGGATAATATTGAATCTCTGACACTACCACAGTTGCAGACAGACAGGTTAAGCTTGGTGAAATATGTCTCTGCCATCTTCATGGTCAAGATAGGAGATACTGTAACCAACTTTTTATGGTAACAGTCAGTAGAGGTACCTAGGAGTGGCTGCTGCATTTAAGGATTGAGCATGCCTGGGAATGCCCAGTGTGCAAAGATTTCAATTATGATAACATAACATAACTGCCCAGGCTTTTTTGCTGTGGCCTTAATTGGCATGTCTTTCTATAACATTTCTCCTCTTTTTGCTGTGGCCTTAATTGGCATGTCTTTCTATAACATTTCTCCTCTTTTTGCTGTGGCCTTAATTGGCATGTCTTTCTATAACATTTCTCCTCTTTTTGCTGTGGCCTTAATTGGCATGTCTTTCTATAACATTTCTCCTCTTCTTTGCATTCACCTGCCCAGGCTTTTTTGCTGTGGCCTTAATTGGCATGTCTTTCTATAACATTTCTCCTCAACTTCTTCACATTCACCTGCCCAGGCTTTTTTGCTGTGGCCTTAATTGGCATGTCTTTCTATAACATTTCTCCTCTTTTTGCTGTGGCCTTAATTGGCATGTCTTTCTATAACGTTTCTCCTCATCTTCTTCGCATTCACCGGTTGTAAACTACAGCAAAAAGTTGTGGTTTTCCATCTACTTCTGGACTTTAGTGTTGTTCATTATTTTAAATTTTGTATACACACCCATTTTACAGATCTGGCTTATCTGTATGCAGAATGTTGGTCCCTCACCTCTCTGGCAGATGCACTCTGACTTCAAAGGAAACAGCTCTTAATCAACTCTTACAGCATATTTCTGGGAAGGTAGTGAACTTGTTCTTCAGTGGAACCCTAGAACCTACACTGGGGCCTATCACTCAGTGTAACACTATTGTCTGGGAAGATGGAGAGGTGCCGATCTTTAATTTAATATTTTCATTAATGTACTGTGTGTGCACTTGCATGCAGGGTTGCAGTTATATGTGAGAGAGATGGTCTGTGCATGTTGTTATGCTGTGTAGTTTATGTACAACACTGTTACCATTTTTTTTTTTCAAGCATTTGTTTTTGTACATTTTTGTTCATATTGATGTTCTGTATAAGTTATGTAAAGCATGTATGTGATAGTTATGTTTTTTTAAAAATATGTTGTTTGTTTTATGTTCGGTAAGTTCAGTAGACTTGAAGCTTTTATGTGTTTACGTATTCTGCTAAGAATTGTTTCACTCACTTGCGTGTTTGGACATCTGATTTTAGGCTTCCATCATTGTGCTTTGGAATGTTATGATAGTGAACAACTGGCAAGTGTTCCTGGAAGTGTTCAAAAACAAGACATCTCCGTGAGTATTGTACAAGGTCAAGATTTCATGTCATTGCTTTCTTGCGGTTACATTGGTTCATTTATCACTATTATAACATTTACATTCAGTTCTCTTGTCACTTTTACGGAAATCTTTACATCATTTTTCACTGTTACAGTTAACTTTATTTCATCAGTCATCTTCTTCTGTGGTACTACACTTATGCCATAAAGTGTTACAGAGAGGAGTTAGATGTAGTTTCCTGTCTTCTGTCAGTTGCGTAGTTCATGTTAATGTTATATTGTATTTATGTAGTGTCTCTTTTACTCCTTTCACCCAGCTCTTTCACAGTCGGCCTATTGCCTTGTAGCCTGCTGTTCTCATGTGGTATGCTCTAACTGCTGGCCAGATGCCCAAACCATTTCGATTCTTTAAAACCGAGGGGAACCCTTGAGGCCATAGAAACATTATATTTAATAAACAAACAGACAGTGTATTGATCGGCACTCATAACAAAGAAGTAAAAAGATAGAAGGACACTAAACAGCATAACAATTGAAAGCTATTTAATTCTTTGATGTTCTTTAAAATTCTTTACCACTACTGAAAATAAAAAGTAAAGGACCCTTTTAAGACTGATGTTCATTTCTGTAAGGCTGTTCTTAATGCCATCACTCCATCTTTTCCGAGGTCTTCCACTCGCTCTATACCCGTTGTAATGTTTTAGTATGGCTCGCTGTGGTACTATATACTACAGCGAGCAACACTAAAACATTACAACGGGTATAGAGCGAGTGGAAGACCTCTGAAAAATAGACTGATGGCATTAAGAACAGCCTTACAGAAATGAACATCAGTCTTAACAGTGCTCTTGGCAGAGCTCATCAACGAATATTACATCTCCCTCCCCCCCCCCCCCCCCCCCCCCCACCCCCAACCCGACACTTCGATGAGGTAAAAGGTGGAAGAGAAGAAGAAGAAGAACTGTTACATAATAAATTTGGAGCCGTGTTAGCCTAGTGACTAGGTGCTCCTCTGCTGGCCTAGAAGGTCAAGGGTTAAAATCCACATCGAGGTGGATTTTGTTTTCAGAATTGATCTCGACTCCCAGGTGACCCCAGCCAGAAATGGGCAGTAGGTCAATCTTGAGAAGTTCGGACGGCCAGTATGATGTTGATCACATCAACCGTCTGGTGTCGATTGGTTGAAGGTTAGTTGCATATCCTTATACAGGACGTCACAGAACCAACCCCAAAAGCTCCTGGCTGTTGTGTGGTTTTACTAGGCAAATTTATGTCCAGTAGTTTGCCATTGCTTTCTGGACTGTTAGCTTTCTTGATACCACTGTCAAAACCAATGCAAGGCACATGGCCCGTAGCTGGGATCGAACCCGGCATTATGAAGCATTCACATCGACTTAGCCACAGAGCAGATGAGTGTTGATTGATCTGTTTAAAAAAATAGGTCTAGAACTGTATACCCGATGTGTTAAGGACATAAAAAGGGTCCGTTACTGATTTTTTTTCGTAAATATAACTGTAGTTCATTCATCACTATAACCATGGATTTTGTTTTTGTCCAGTGGTATGCGGTACCGACACCTTTGTCAGGCAACATTGTTTTCAGCATAAGTGTAATAGGCACTTTGTTTTGAGTACCGGCACCATTTGTTGTTAGACACTATTTGGTGTGTACTGGTACTCTTCTTCTAGAAAAAAGCATGACTATTTGAAGAAAAAAGTTTAATTTAACCCTTTAATCATATACATTTACTGTTGTTAATTTACAATTACTCTTGTTAATTAACATTTATTCCTCTTAATTTACAACTGGTTTGGCATCAAGCAAGGAGTCCGTCAGGGATGTGTGCTGTCACCGTATTTGTTCAACCTGTACGCCGAAAATATAATGAGAAATGTAAGAGATGATATAAACAAGGAACAATATGATGCCCTAAACATCGGTGGTCATGAAATACCAGAAATTCGTTATGCTGATGATACAGTATTACTATCAACATCACAAAATGGTTTAGAAAACTTATTAACCTCACTCCAAAGAAATAGTGAAAATCATAACTTATTTCTTAACACAGCAAAAACAAAGATAATGCATACAAACAAAACTGCCATGGAGAAGGAAATATATGTTAATGAGGAAAGATTGGAAGTGGTGGAAAATTTCGAATATCTTGGGTCACTGTTTACCAACAATGGTGACACAATGAAAGAAATTAAACGGCGACTATCAATTGCTCTTCAAAGACTAAAACAACTGAATAAATTATGGAATTGTACAGATAGAATTACAAAGGTCAGATTTTTAAGAGCAGGCATCTTTCCCATTGCAACATACGCCTGTGAGACCTGGACACTTACTAAACAAGCGGAACAGCGCATAAATGCATTTGAATATAAATGTTACAGACAGGTTCTAAGAATATCTTGGGTAAAGAAAAGAACAAATGCATCCATACTTCAAGAGCTGAATATTGAAGAGGGTTGGCTAGTAAAGACAATAAAACAAAGAAAATTGAAATATTTTGGTCACTTGAAACGTCATGGAGGTCTAGAGAGAACAATAATGGAGGGGTATATGCCTGGGAAGAGAGGAAGAGGAAGGCCAAGGAGAAGATGGGTGCAGGATGTGGCAGATGATCTCCAGATGGGTGTATCAGACGCAGGACATCTTGCTCATGATAGGAAGGTTTTCCGGAGGGTTGTTATGGCAGCGAGGTTCCGCGAGAGACATGCTACTGAATGAATGAATGAATTTACAATGACTTTTTTAAATTTACATTTGCTCTTGTTAATTTATCATCTCTGTGGCTAAGTCGATGCCAACGCTTCGTAATGCCGGGATGCCGGGTTTGATCCCAGCTGCGGGCCATGCGCCTTACTTTGGTTTCGACAGTGGTTTCAAGAAAGCTGACCGTCCAGAAGGCAATGGCAAACTACTGGACGTAAATTTGCCTAGAAAAACCACACAACAGCCCCTGGCTGTTGGAGTTAGTTCTGCAACGTCCTGTAAAGGATACGCAACTAACCTTGTTAATTTACATTTGCTCTTGTTAATTTATGTTTACTTTTCTTAATGTACATTTACTCTTGTTAATTTACTTTGAATCATGTTAATTGACATTTTCTTAGCCATGCAAAGATTAAACTGCATTAAAAGTCATTGGTTAAGCACCAGCAAGGAAATCAGAATTGAAATATTTAAGAGCATGCATCGTCCCTGTAGCAACATACGGATGTGTTATGGACTGTCTCCCAGTCCTAATGAAAGAAAATAGTGGTTTTTGAGCTGAAATGCTGTAGAAACATTCTCAGAATATCATGGAAAAAGAAGGGAAGAAATACTGACATTTGAAAAGATCTGAACATCAAGGAAGATTGTCTTATAAACAGCATCTTGTTTCGGAAGCTGAAATATTTTTGTTACATCTATCACCCTGGTGGACTGGAAAAAATAACAGCAAAAGGCAAGGTACCAGGAAGGAGGGGCAGGGGCTGACCAACATGAAGATGGGCACAGGATATAAGTGACTCCTTGAATGTTAAAAGTGCACAAGGCGGGAGAGCTGTAAAGAGACCAAGTTTCTTTCAGATAGACCATGATAAGAGCAACATTCTGCAAAGGACCTGCAACATGATGCTATTTACATTCATTATAATTACATTTGAAGTAGCTCATTAACTACTTTTATGTTCATCATTATTACATTTACTGTAGCTGATTTGTCCCGTGAAATTGAACTCATTATATTTTGTTTATTTCCAGATGGTCATACCTGTACTTCATCGCCTGGTGGCTGCTGTCTGTAATCTTAGTCCTGAATCTGTTCACAGCTTTGATCATGGAGGTACCCCCATCTTTTATCATCCGGTTGTCTTATTGTAGCCATTAATTTGTTGTTGTTTTTTTTTTAAGCTTATATTGTATCCATGGGCCAGAAGGTCGTGCATTCAAATCTGCATCAAACCAGACTTTTTTTTAAAATGACCTTGACTGCCAGGTCAACCCAGCCTCAAATAGGTACAAGGTAAAGTGCAGGGAAGTAAAAGCGGCCAGCGTGATGTTGACCGCATCGCCACAGTTGTAGGCATCTTGATTTCTGGACATTTTGTGTTGGCATATGACATTGATTCATAAACTTTTTTTGGGGGGGGTTTGTGACACTGATTGATGAAACATTTTTCTGTTGGGTTCTAATAGAACTTCATCATGAAATGGGATCAGCGACATCAGCTGAGTGAAGCAGCGACAAACTCCTCCTCCACATACGAAGGACTGACTGTCACAATACAACTGAACACTGTACACAGCATGTTCAGGTAAGTTGTCACATCTTTCTATTGTGACTTTAATGGTGTGAGTTCACCTGAAACATTGCCTGTTTGTTTTGCGAAATTTTTACCTGGCATATTCTTTAACAAATGGTTGGCCTCTTTGTCTGACCAAACTAGCATATCTGTCTTATCCTGACCTCATTTAGTCTACTTAGTCATAGTTTTTTTTTTTTTTTTAATAAATGTCTTCTGCCCTGTTTTCTTCTTATTCACCTGTGTAATCACATTTATTCGTCATCGTCATCATCATCATCCTACTGTGCCATAAAACATCACCTAGGGCTCATAGTCCAGCCCTCCATTCTGTTCTGTCCTGTGCAATGCTAACAATATCTTAGATGGAATCCAGTCCAGCAGCTTTAGCCTCTCTCAACAACGTTCATCTCAGGGTTTCCTTTGAATGACCTCGTTTGCTGCATCCATTTGTTTCCCATTACAGCACCACATTTAGAAAGCTTCAATTTTTCCTCCTCTGTGTTTAATCCTTGTCTACACATTACACCGTTTCTTTCTTCTGCCTTATATTTTTCATTGGAACATAGTCCAACAACCTATGCACCCTTTGGCTAAGACCCCCACCTACACTGGAATGCAGGTTGCCTCATAACCGTTATGTTTTACGGCTGGACTGGTTTCTCTGATTTTTTCCATTTGGATTCCTATCCGAAGCTGACTTGTGAGTCATTGGGTGTGTTTTTCAGACTGCCATCCTGGAGGAAGAAAAATTTTTTTTATAAAAAGCTCTTACTTTTTACGTCTGCTTGGGCTGGGCTACTTCTTCATTGTCATCAGAGGTCCTGGGTAGTTAACATCCTTTGGATATTTTCTCTAGGCAATGCCAGTGTGTTGGGAAATGAACAGGCAGATTGACTGGTTGATTCAGCACCACTTGCTGGTGAATTGATGCAGGACAAGCTAGATGTTATAAGGACCCCTTGTGAGCGAGTGAACAGTACGCAGAGATCATCATGATCTGAAGAGAATGGTGCTGCCAGGCGTGACCAGGGGATCTGGCCAATGCTCAACACTCAAGGATAAGGCGAGATGGATGTAGTCAAACTGTTACCCGTGCCATTAAAATTGCAGCTCTGGGCTTGCTGATGAAGACAGAGTATTTATGGGAATATGCTGTGATGTTGATTCTTAATTCAGCACTTACATTCTACTTCCATTCAACTTTTTTGTGTACAGTTTTTTTTCTTGCCACTCTACTTCTTCTTCTTCTCTTCTACCTTGTACCTCATCTTAGTGTCGGGGGAAGATGTAACATTCATTGATGAGGTCTGTCAAGAGCACTATTAAGACTGATGTTCATTTCTGTATGCTGTTTTTAATGCCATCTATATTTTCCTAGGTCTTCCACTCGCTCTATACCCGTTGTAACATTTTAGTTTTTGCTCTCTGTGGCAGATAGCACCAGGGCATTCTTGTTAGGTGTCAAAACCACTTCATTTGTTGTTCTTTAATGACCTGTAAGACTTTATACCTAGCATCTGTGATTTCGTTTTCTTTCTTTAAAACTCTTGCAGCTCTTCTAAAGCATTTTATCTCTGTTGTCACAAATTTAGTTCATTAGAGGATGTAAGTGTCTACTTTTGGCACTGATAGCATAGTGTTGGCCAAAACTGCCACTCTACGTGCACCAAAAATTGAAGTCTACTAGGTCTTTTGATAACGCTTCGTCTCGTTTAATTGTACTCGGGGTTTCAGAGCCATATAGGACATTGGTCTTGTCTGTGTTCTGTATACTGTGTTCTTGGTGTTATATGACAGAGTTCATGATGAGTCTCTGTTTTCTTGTCTAACAACAGGGACCTGCTGCAAGAGCCACCAGACACTGAGCTTTTGTCACTGCTCAACAAGCATCGTTATCTCAGGTTGGATGGATGATAACATAACAGGGTGGGTATTCATTCAAGTTGGAAGATAACAAGGTGGCAGTTCAAGTTGAATGATAACATAACAGGGTGGCGATTCAAGGTGGATGATAACATAACAGGGTGGTGATTCAAGGTGGATAACATAACAGGGTGGCAATTCAAGGTGGATGATAACATAACAGGGTGGCGATTCAAGGTGGATGATAACATGGCAAGGTGGGTGTTTAAGGTGAATTATAACAATGTTTAAGATAGCACAAATGAACATCTGTCAGTGGAGATTTGATGGTTTGGTTGTGTGTTTTTTCTGTTGAAGAGGGATTACAACAATGTATGGAATGATAGAACAACAGATGAGACAATCTTCCTTGAGACAGTCTTCCTTGAGACAGTCCAACTTGAGACAGTCTTCTTTGAGACAGTCGTCCTTGAGACAGTCTTCCTTGAGACAGTCTTCCTTGAGACAGTCTTCCTTGAGGCAGTCTTCCTTGAGACTGTTAAGTGGTAAACAGATGAAAGAAATGAAACGTAGGCAGTCAGTGTTTATTTGGACATGCTATGAGAAGGAATGGACTCTGCAACTTGGTGACAATTGGCAGTAATGGGAGGGGGGGGGGGGGGGGGTCAAAGAAAGGCAAAAGATAACCTACCTGGATGGTTGGGCCATTATAAATGGGGTGAGTCAACAAGCAGGCGATATTAACTCTTTGTGAGTCCCAAGGAACGCATCATACGTTCATAGGTTCCTACCTAGAAGCCTAATGAATGCATGATGCGCCGATTTTACGTCTCTTTTGACTACCCTTTGGGTCTCTGATGCTAAACCCCTTGGGACTCAAAGAGTTAAGAACACTCTGTATATCAGTAATTAAACAAACTCCCTTTTTTTTTTTTAAAGAGTTCAGAACTGGGCAGACAGGTTTGACATATATTTTTTCACTATCATATTAAACATGCGGCGTCCGTGGCTTAGGCGTTGCGAGTCCAACTCGTAATTCCAGTGTACCGCTAATCGAAACCCACTGCTGGCTGAGTGGGTTTTTATCATGGTATGGGGCGTCACAGGTCGACCCAACCTAAAATGGGTACCAGGATGGCTGTCCTAAGGAAGTAAAGACAGCCGGCATATTACTGACCACATTACCCACCTAGTGCCGACAGTCTGTAAAAATATGGGCGCGTTTCCCATATACCCGATGCGCGTGAAGGCGTGAAATGGGATGTTTATTTTTTACTTTACTTATATTAAACATGCCAAATAAGACTTTATAAAGTTATTGTTACATTGTGCATTAACATTTATTATAGTGATCATAAATGCAGATGCATATTTTTGTGTTTTCTTACTTTCATGTATATAGATTGCAGTGAATCAAAATAGAAACCTATTGCATATTTTAAAAATACAAGGGGGTCTCTGCGGCGAAGCGACCAAACCCTTTGCCTTACACTCTGAACATCATGGGTTCATTTCATGCTGGTGCTGTTCAGTTTACGAGTGCAGTTTTTTACAAAGATCCCTGGGGATCATCGCCGGAGCTGTGGAGGTCGTGCTCTGTCTGAAGCTCTCGGCAGGCTGCTAGCTGTTCTGTGGAGAGAGACTGAGCCTTATGGGATAAAATCTGATGCATTGAAATCAATCCTCTCACTCTTACCTTGAGAAAATATAATTAAAATTTCCTGACAGATATTGGATGCAGTGCTCATTTCTGTGCAGGCTGCATAGTCTTGAAATACTGTGTCCAGAACATGCACAAACAATAATAGGCTTGCATCGTGACTTGATTTCGGATTTTCCAAGGAAAGACAGAATACGAAATCATGAAATCAGACGAATGCTAGGAATAAAGCTAGTCTTACAGGTCATCAAAGAACAACAAATGAAATGGTTTGGACACCTAACAATAATGCCCTGGTACTATCCGCCACAGCGAGCCACACTAAAATGTTACAACGGGTATAGAGCGAGTGGAAAACCTCGGGAAAATATGGAGTGATGGCATTAAGAACAGCCTTACAGAAATGAACATCAGTCTTAATAGTGCTCTTGACAGAGCACATCAACGAACGTTACATCTCCCCCTGAGACTTCGATGAGGTACAAGGTGGAAGAGAAGAAGAAGAAGCATCGTGACTTAGATATGGTTTGAGGCAGAAGATTTTGTAAAGAGTGTCTTTCCAGTAAGCTATAAAGTTCACTTCTGCAAAGAACCTTTTGTTTAATATTTCAATACGCCAAAGAAAGCAAATTTTGATCAAATCCCTGCAGTCCCTTTGTTTCAAGAATTTGTTCATTATTTTAACATGCACATTTTAAAATATTTTTTCCCAAAGGTGTACTTATATGTATGCATATATATATATATATATATATGTTTTGACATTTAATTTTTCACAGCTTTTACCTTTTCCATATACAATACTCACTCAGGTTTCTTGGCATAATGTTGTAATTTCTCCACAAATTTGGCCTCTGACCATTTAACCTATTCAGTTTTTGAAACTACTGCATAGGTGTGGTCTTTCAACAAATTTTGATGTTTAAAAGTACTCCATAACTGTGTCCTTTCAACATATTTGACCAATTTGATGTTTAATTTAAAATCACTCCAAAATTGTGCCCTTTCAGCATATTTGATGTTTAAAATTACTCCATAAATGTATCCTTTGAACTCCATTGGTGGGTTTCGGAGCCCCGTTTTGGGGTAAGAAAAGAATAGACCGATTGCCTCCTTAACAAGTACATCATGTGAGGCGACTTATTATTGGCATTTTCTTTGAAGTCGAAGTGCATCTGCCTGAGAGGCGAGGAACCAACAGTCCGCATACATATAAGATTTGTAAAGCTGATGTGCATGTAAAACTTACAACCTGGACTAAAGTCCAGAAATGGATGAACAGCTAAAACTTTGCGCATGAGTTTACAGCTGGTGACTGCAAAAAAAGTGGTAGAGAAGCCTTTGAACAAATTTTATTTTTGGAAAATATTCTAAATATGGCCACTGCAATACATTTTTGTGCTTTTCTGCTTGCCTGTCAGAGAACACTCAGTTACATCCGGACCCGGGTTACCTGTTGTTGTTTTTTTTTTTTTTTTCATTTTTAAGATCACAAGTTTATGTATAAATATTCAAGATGACAGCTTGGTTTTGTTATCTGTGAGAAATGAAAGGTCATCTGAGGGCTTTGCTGTGTGGACTGAAGATGAAGAATTCATTGATTATGAGAAGGGCGAATAGATTAAGAATATTCCATTCAATCTTTCTTTATCATTTGAGGTGAGGCAGAGAATGTTGAACAGTTGTATAGTCCATTTGTTATACATGGAAGTGAATCATGGATAATTAATGAACAATTATGTGGCTGTGGCAGAGATGTGGGTTTAAAGATGACAGATGAGAATACCTTGGACAAAACAACAAGTGTAATGAAGAAGTCTTGAAAGAAATTAACTTATGAAGAGAACTGATTACCCACATTAGAAAGAGACAATCTACATTCTCTAGTCATTTAATGAAGAGAAAACCGAAATACATTGTGAAAGTGGCAAATTTGGAGGGGTAGAGGGACAGGGGGAGACCAAACAGGACAGTTTGACATCATGGCATGGAAGATCATCTGTGTCAGACGTTCAAAGTACACGAGAGAGAATACCATGGATAGACATAACTACCAACACCATATGGCATGGTTACGAGATCATTAGAAATGTTACAAACTATTTTTTTAAAATTGTTGTCTGTTTCCAGGTGTAAAGTAAAGGACCCTTTTCCACGCCTTTCAGGCATATTGGGTATATAGGGCTAGACCTATATTTTATAGCCCAAGCAGCACATTGGATGTGGTCAGCATCACACCGGCTTCCTTTACTTCCCATGACTGTACCTGGTACCCACTTAAAGCTGGGTCGACCTGGGAGCCAAGATCATTTTTTAAAAGAAATCCGGCGCTCATCAGGAACCTAACCCATGACCTCCCGATCCCTAGCTAAGTGTCTAGCCAAAAGACCACAGGTGCTCCCGTTTTTCCAGGTGTACAGAATTAAATACCTTGTTTATTCTCCGGTTGTAATCTCACTCTGAGAGCACCAAGGTTGTGCTTGCATGTAACTGATATTTAATTGGATATTTTAAACTTTATAACAATTGTCTTTCATACCATCGGTTGCCTTACACTGTATTGTATACCCTTACACAGATTTTTGATTGAATAGAATTATTTTATATGAGAAGATTTTGTTCATGTAACTTTACTGCACATGTAACTTGTAGATTAATTAATGCACAATTTATATGCTTCACAAGACTTATTTGAACTGGCAAACTGAAGTACATTGCGTCATTGGCTGTTTAAAGTTTGAGATAATTATTTTATTGGTGTGTGTGTCATTCAACCCCACAAGGACAGTACAACAAGCAACCAACACCAGGTGACACAAAGTGCCAGCATTCAGATGAGGATCACCTGGGCACAAGTCCCAGCATTCAGATGGGGATCACCTGGGCACAAGTCCCAGAAACCCTGTTAGGTTATATTAAGGCCCCCCGACTAAAGACATATTGAGACGGTTTTCATATACATTATTCGATTGGTCCCAGGAGATATGTCTTTGTAATTTAATTAGTTAATGAAATCATGTGTTCACGAATCTTATATACTACAAGAATTACATTGGATAATGAAATCATTACTTCAGAAATATTGTATAACAAGAAATGAAATACTCATAACAAATATTGGTCATTTATTTATTCAGGTTGTATGAGCAAGCTTCTGATTGGCTAATTAAAGTCTGTATTCTACGACGCTTGACCATTAAGCCACTTAGTTTGCTTCCCTAGAATAAGTCGGTTGAACAGGAAACTTCGAACCACACAACTGTCATGTCGTTACTATTTCATTTGCCTCCATGATTTACCTGATTTTTTTTTGGGGGGGGGGTCTTACAAAAAGCGCATCTTCCATTTTAGTTCACTTCAAGAGTTGGTGGATATATCATACAGTTTTTGG